GGGGGGGGGGTCACACGAAGGACGGACGCTCCACCTTTGGAATGCTGTGGGAAGGACACACACCCTGCCCCAGCGCGGGGCAGGTTTCGTTTGGGACGTTGAATGTGGCACCATTGATGATAGATACTAAAGAATTCCCTGAAATAAAAACCACACGTGCTTACGCACGAGGGGACGATCGTGGGCCCCGGTGAGTTCCCACCCCTCACTACAGACGCACGTCTTGCTCACAAGGGGTGAGGGGCCTCAGCTCCCACGAGCCCGTCTGCAGCGTGCGGCTCGTGCTGCCTGCAGGGGTCTGACCCAGGGACCCCAGTGCCTGCTGACGTGGCCGGGGCGGCCTCACGTGGCCTTTCCTTCTCGTGCGTGTGTCAGGTTTACTGTCCCCCATGTTTACGTTCCAGACGCTGCCTCCTTGAACTAATGATTCAATATTTGTAATGGAGAGAACTGGTCCAGCCATCTCTCAAGGTTTTAGTTCTAACTTATCGTGGACTAAAAAGAGTCCATTTCTACTGATTTCAAAATGCACAGAGAAAAGAATGGAAAAAACGTCCCTGTGTGTTCTAACAATTTTTCTGGACTTCATGCACCTATCTTATGGTTGTTTTATAAGCTATGCTTCTTATAACAGAAAGCACGAAGGAAAGCCTACCTGGCCATTCCGTGTTCCGCCTGCCTTTGTATCGCAAAGCAGCCCCACCACTGCCCATCAGCCCTAACCTTCTGCTGCACTGGCCTCGGGGCGAAGGCGGGGCGGCCAGCTGTGGTACCTGAGTTCCGTGATCTGCAAACGAACCACAACGGCGCCTTTACCCCCGTTTCTTTCCTGTAAATCTCGGAAAGACAATGATTCTTTAGATAACTTTAGAGCTAAAAAACTATTGTGGTAACATGTTTGACATGGAAGCTTCCGAACAGAAACCCCAAGCGCTCTGCTCTGCAGTTAAGCTGGAGCCCGCCGGTCCCTGCGGGTCAGAACACGTGGGCCAGCGCCTGCCACTCGCTCGCGGCCTCGGGCACCACCTCCTCCAGGTGCAGCGTCTGGCTCAGCTCCTCGCCTCCCTGTTCCTGGCGGCCGGCGGAGGCCTGCAGCGTTCCTGCAGTGCAGACACACGAGCGCAGTCTTAGACGGCCGGCCGCACACAGTCAGTCACAAGAAACAGACACGAGAAACTTCTACCGAGCACGGGCACATGCGGCTCCGTAAAGGCTCTAGTAATGCGGCACCGGTCTGTGTGGGGGCAGCGGCGGCCTACAGAGGTGCTAGCAAGTCATCGTGGACACACGCAGGCCTGTCTGTGGGTCCACGCCTCACTCTGCACCTGCTGTCTGGGCTCTGACCCCAGAACGAGGCCCCTGCACGGTGACACGGCCCGACTGCACACCGCAGGAAAGCGGCTTCCCAAACGCGGTGGACAGGACGTGGTGCTGACCGCCTGGGGGTACACAGGTGCTGACCGCTTGGTGGGGACACAGGCACTCACTGCTTGGGGACGTACTAGGTGCTGGCCGCTCAGGCCCAGCACTGACTGCTCACAGGGCTGAGCCCCGCCCATCTCCCACCACTCACAGGGCTGAATCCCGCCCCCTCTCCCACCGCCGACCACTCACAGGGCTGAGCCCCACCCCCCGCTGTGACCACTCACAGGGCTGAGCCCCTCCCCCCCTCCCCCGCCTCACCGGTACAGCTGTGCGCCCGCTTCATGTGCAGCTTCATGTTGCTCTTCTGGGTGAAGCCCAGGGCGCAGAAGCCACACCTGTACGGCCGCTCGCCCGTGTGCTTCTTCATGTGCACCTGCAGAGCGCTCTTCTGATTGAACGCCTTCTCGCAGACCGTGCAGGGGAACGGCCGCTCGCCTGGGGACAAAGCGACCACGTCAGTGCCAGGATATGGCACTGGGGGGCCCGTCTACAAACGCCCCTCCTGCCACCACCGGCCAGATCGCCAATTCACATGGGCCTAGCACACCCATGCCACAGCGACACACAGGGCAAAGCAACCCAAAGCTGCTCAAGGGCCCAGAAGCGTCCAGAAATTAACCAAGAGCACAGACGGTTTCAAGTTCCAGCGGTTCTCAAGTTCCAGCGGTTCTCAACCTGTGGGTCGCGACCCCTTTGGGAGTCGAACGACCCTTTCACAGGGGTCGCCTAAGAACATCGGAAAACAAAAAGATATTTACATGACGATTCATAACAGTAGCAAAATTACAGTTATAGAGTAGCAACGAAAATAATTTTATGGTTGGGGGTCACCACAACATGAGGAACTGTATTAAGGGGTCGCGGCATTAGGAAGGCTGAGAACCACTGGTTAAACAAAGGCGAATACATTTGGGCGCTAAAGCAAAGACATTAAGGACCTGAGAACATCAAATCCACTTAACTCAAAGCAGGATTCATACAATACTTTAGAAAATGTTACTTAATTGCCTTGAAGTCAATAAGGAAACCGAAAAATGGAAGGAAACGTTGCCCAGCTGACCTCTGCTGGGAGCTTGGCCCCGGAACTACCACTGGGCACCCAATTCTGGGCTCCAGTGCTGCTGGCACCTTTCTCTGCATTCACCTTCCCGCTGTCACTCACCCTCCCGAGCCCCAGGGACTGAGTCCTCCTGTCCCAGGGCTCGGCACAAGCCTCTCCCCCTTGGCCTAGAAGGCTGTCCCATGTGCTCCACGTGGCTGCCTCCTGGTCCCCTCCCCGTGAACCTCCTGGACCACGCGCCAGTCAGCACGAGGCCCCACTCCTCATCCTCCCAGGGTGTCGCTCTGTGTCACGCTAAGTCTGTTCCCCTTCTCATCCAGGGGCCAGGACAAATCTGTGGGGCTGTGACAATGAGGACATCACATCTGTGACTGTTACATGGAGAAAAAGTGCTGTCACAGATGAGGTTAAGGTCACAGTCAGAGGACTCTGGGTGAGTGAAAAGGGCACTTAAGCTGGCAGGCCGGCTCCACCCATGTGCGCCTGGACAGGCACACAGCTTGCAGGCGGGCGGGCGGCGGAAGCTGGAGAGACGAGGCTGGAAAGTGCCTTTGCTGGTTTGAGGATGGAGCGCCCACGTGAGCAGGGTTGGCCCGCGACCAGCCAGCAAGGTCACAGCGACGTGTTAAGTGGTTTCTCCAAACCCTTCATATGCATCTGTTTATCATAAAAGGCAGTTTCTATCTCTTAGTTATGTTCTGAACAAACATTACGAGTGGCAGCACGGTTGTTTTTCACTCAAAAGCTATGTGCTGACCAGCCGGTCAGGGCTCCATTTGCTGACAAACGAGGACAGCGCTGAGAACGCGTGAGCCCGAGGGCCGGGGAAGGGCTAACAGCACAAGGAGGCCGCTCGCGTCGGCTGGGGGTGCCCGTGGGTACAGAGGCCTCTGGTGGCGGGGCGTCCAAGCCGACATCAGAAGGCGAGTCAGAGAAGGCAAAGGGAGAGAGAGCCGGGGGAGGGTGGCCAGCAGAGGGAACTCTGAAAAGGGCCGGGTGGTAACGGGGTGGCCTTCCAAGGGCTGGGGTGTGGCAGGGACGACGCAGATCAGGAAGGCTGGACGGGTCACCGGAGGTGCTCAGCACGGGAACGGGGCGGCACATTCGTCCTGGGTTTTGGTCAGGCTGCTGTGTGAATGCAGGGCTGGAGGGCCGGTAAGGAGACCCGACCAGGAGGGAGGCTGGCGGCAGGGCCGTGGGGGCAGAGCAGAGGGCTCTGGGCAGAGGCAGCCTGCGGAGTCCCGGGAGCGTGATGGTGTAGCAGGGGCCAGGGAGCCGCCGCCAGAGACGAGGGCTGAGGGCTAGGTCAGAGCCGGGCAACGGGCAGCGGGAGAAGGGGGATAGTGTCTTGGTTTTGTTGTTTTTTGTCTGATATGGAAGCCTTGGGCAGACTTAGGTGGGGACAGGCAAAGCCAGCGAGGAAAAGTCTGGACACACAGGAAGCCCCACGAGGCAGCCCTTGCCTGCTGGCTTCCATTTTCGATACTCATGATGCAAAGAGCACACTTTCTACTTGAAAGCTAGCTGGCATGCCCTGATGAAAAGGCAGGGACACATGCAACGCGTGGCGCTGGCTTCCTAAATGGCGCAAGGTCGTGAGCGGACGTCGCGGAAGAACCCCCTTTCCTCACTCATTTGCAGGAGTCCTAACCCGGAATCCCACCGCGTACGTTACCTGTGTGGATGCGGCTGTGTCGCTCCAGCTGGCTCGGTTTGGCAAATGCCTTCTCACAAGTGTCACATTTAAACACTCTCGGCTTCTGGGAGCTTAAAGATGGGCCAGCCTGGTGTGTCTGCATATGCTCCTAGTAAAGACAGTCCACAGAGATGAAGAAATACTTAAGATCATAACGGAACTTTACAGACTTGACACAAAGTTAAAACCACCAGGGGATTCAGGTCAGTGGCGAGGGGAACAAGAGGCCTGTCTCTGATTCGCCTTCCCACGGGGCCTCGGGTCAGCGTCCATGCCGGCAGTGCTGCGCGGTGGGGGGCCGGGCCTGGGCTTGCTGGGGAGACGGAGCCCACTCCACACACCTCAGCCACATCTCACAGGGGGAGTTCCTCAGGCCTCCCTGGTTGTTGGTGACCTTGACAGTTTTCAGGAGGACTGCTCAGGTATCTTGTGGGCCGTCCCTCAACTGAGATCTGTCTGATGTTTTTCTCATGATGAGACCAGGGTTATGGGTGTGGGTGGCAGAGAGCTGTTTCTACCCCGGCATGTCAGGAGCCACTCCAACACGCTTCCTGACTGCTGATACCGACCTGGTCCCCGGCTGCAGCTGTGCGCTACGTGTGGCATTAGTATGTGCTCACCCTCCCTGAGGAAGAAGGGAGAGTCTGCAGCTCATTGCTAAGGAGTGGCGACAGTCATGTCTCCAGAATTCTTCTGCCCGGGAGAGTCATCTCTTCTTGCTTATCTAGTAATTTATTCCATCGACCACAGTTCAGCAATAAGGTCTCATGGATATTTATTTCGTACTGCGGGTTATAATCCAATGCTACTTGATTTTCTTGCTCCAATACAGCTTTGGCCACTAGGAGCTCTTTCTGTTGGCTCCTGTGTCCCTTTGACGTATTCCTGTCACTCTATGTGTGTGTGTTTAACACTTCCTGGTTTATTTTATAGCACAATGTCATTTTTTTAAATTCCCAATTTCTGAAGGTCATCAAGAAAAAATAATTTATAGGTATCAAAATGCCAGCTTTAGTTTTTACAATTGTGTAACACTATTTCAGAATGTTTATTGGAAAGGTATGCCTTATATATAGTAATACACAGTATTTAAAACATCAAGAAATTTCTTTAGCTATTTTTACTTATTGCCTATTTACAAGGGTTTACTCTCTATCAGACAATACTGTGGTAGCTATAACTTCCGTACTCCCTGCTATGAGCTAAGCACGATGCTAAGTACTTTATATTCCTCCAAATGACCACAAAATGCAAGTACTGATATTCCTATTTACACATTAGGACACTGAGGCTGCAGACAGTGCGTGCGTGAGCCACATCATGGAGATTCTAGCGGCAGTCACATTTAAGCTGAGGTCGGATGGCGGATGGCTCAGCCGTAGGTGGCACATACCAGTCAAGAAGGGTTCAATTTATATTTGGTGTTTGAAAATGAAGATGCGTCCTCTTCCAACTGTGTCAGTACTGGGGCTCCTCCACTCAGAGAACACGGTAGGGAGAGCTGGGTGGCGCTGCCGGCTGTGGGCCTGGAGAGCGGGCCTCTCGGCCGGCTTGCTGATGGCTGACTCCATTACAGGCTGGAGGACAGCAGTGTGGGGCCAGCATGGGCTGACCATGACTGGCTTATGGCACCTTTGGTTTATCTAAGCAGCACTGGAGGAAGCGCCGGCCTAGTCCAAGGTGCAGTCACACATCCCCACTGGGTGGGGACTTCCTGACGGGTCATGGAAACCCCTCAGAGCTCACCCCCATCCCTTCGTCCTCATTGTGTGGGTGTCTCACCATTAGGGCACGCACTCAGGCGGTGCCCAGCTGTCTGCAGCCACCAGCAACGCTGCGTGAACAGCCTCAGGTGTAAATATTTTTGTTCCGATTCCCGAGTGGGTGCAGGCAGGGTTTGGTTAGGCGTCTGTCACCTCGTGCCCCTACAGAAAGGTGCACCACACTGCAGTGCCGCCGTCAATTACCGGGCTTCCCGTTTCCCCACAGCCCCGCCAACAGCTGCTGGCAGGTTGTTAACATTTGCCACCCTGACAGGTGACAAACTGCTTCTCAATGTCATTTGAATTTGCATCTGACTGAGAATTGCACACGGATATGCAATCTGCTAATCTGTCCACCCCACAGTCCTATTAAAACCAAAACAACCGCTAAATAGACTTACCTCCATCAAGCCTTCCCTCAAAAAACTATCTAGTAATGCTGTGACTAAGGTAGGCGGCCTCCACTGCATCATGGGGCCCACTGAGTGTTTCTAAGGAGGCGTGGCCAGTGGTGGAGACAGTGGTGCACCTACCTTGAGGTGGGTGGCGCGCTTGAAGGCCTTCCTGCACGCGGGGCACACGTGGATGCGCTCCCGGCCGTGTGCAGCCTTGCTGTGCTGCAGCAGCGTGGCAGATGATGCAAATGTGCGGCCACACTCCAGGCACTGGTGTAGCCGGCCCTCCTTCTCGGGCTGGCCACCCTGGGCCAGGCTGGCAGAGACATCAGTTACCTGGAGTGGGTTAGACCAGCTACTTTACTCGGCTGGAGCAGTTTGCAAACTGACAGGTGACAAATGACAGAGGAGACACACTAACACAGCCACGCCCAGCCCACGGTGCACAGTGTGTCACCAGCGCTGCGCCCACCACTCTGGGATGCCTCAGGGGCCCTGACCCAGCTGGGTTCAAAGAACAGGACGCTGTCACCTGCACAACAGCACCCCTTGCTGCAAATCCAGCGCCAGCACTACTGTCTGGGCCACTTGGCCTGTTTCTTCACCAGGGAAACAATAGCTAATCATAGCACCTGCCTATCAGGGCTCGGTGGGGCTGAAATGGGGTGGTACAGAAAAGGGGCTGGGAGCAGTGCCCGGCACGCAACAAGCAGTCAGCAAACACTCCCACGCCACTGATTTTCGCTCAGACAAGTGTAAACGATAGTGCCAAAAAACACCATCGCTTCCTCAGCAAACTGCACTAGAAAGGATACTTTGGGGCAGGAGATGTTTCAGCTTTTGATTGGATTAAAACATTTCCCCAAACTTTGGATCACAACCAATTAGTAGGCTTTCCAGTCATTTTAATGGGGTGCCATTAACACCCTAAAAATAAAGAAATAAGGCAGAGAAACTTTATTACTCAGCTTTATAAACAACAGAGTTCAGTTTTGCAGATGAAATTTTCTATGTGATGACTTAGTGAAAAAAAATTATAAACAATTATAAAGAAAATAGATGGAACCTGTCAATTATTTCAAATTTATCAAATACTGTTTCATAATACTAGAATACACAGAAATGGATAAAATTTAAAGAAAAAAACAACAAGAATAGGTTTCTATAAGGTTCTCTAATATTAATTGGTGCTGTAATTGAAAAAACGGAATAAAATGGAAAAGAGCTGAACAGCAAAGATAATACAAATATGTCACGTCGTAAGGGTAGGTACTACTTTTGTGATGCCTGTCAGGCGTGCATGTGCCCACAGGTGTCTGAGTGTGTAAGAAAAAGGAAGAAAAGGACACGTGTGTTCAGAACACTGAGTAAAGTATATTTCTTGTGAGTCAAAGAAAGTTTGAAAACCACCGGAATAAACGATACTCCAGGCTGTTCTGTGACTGCAGATGAAAACCACGATTAAAACAAGGACCTAACAGGAAATGCACGAACTGTAACAAACCCTGGGTTCAGGCGTTCCTCCTCTTCTCCATCATCGCTTTCAAACACTCGTCAGCTGTCATTACGCTAAAATACACCTAGAAAACTGCTGCCGACTCGCACAGTCCCTTCCGGACAAGTGAGCATTCGCAGTCTTGTGGCTCGTTACAACCACAAGAGTGGGTCCTCTCAGTCCTTCCAGCACATCACTGAACTGGAGTATGGTCCTGGGGACCCTGAGACGAGTGACATTAGAGAAACTGGAGCTCAGCTGGTTACTTAGGCCAGACTGGAGGGAATTCCCAGTGCTGGCCACGTCTAATTTCTCTGTGAAAAGTCCTTGCCCGCTGAAAGCCCACAGAGTAATTTTCTTAAAACTCATTTGCTAAAACTGCTTATGTATAAAATGTAGTGCTTCCTCCATTAAGAGATTATTACCTGCACTTCACTTCTGTGAAAAGTTTTAAGGAAAGAGTTTTTAGACTTCTATATTTAGAGCTATCATTTACTAAATGTTTTAGTCCCCCAAAACATGTGTTTTAAGAAAAAAGACTAGTCAAATGACAATATGTCACACACATGCATATGTATATATAATGAAAAAAGCAGCAAGACTTAAAAGAACCCGCAAAGGTACCTCAAGGAAACCTACAAAAAGAACTAAAGGCAGGGAAACGGCTGTCTGAGACCTGGTCAGCAGGCCAATGTAAGATGATACTAACAAACTGACAGCCAGGCTGACACATTTCTCGTTCTATTAATGCATCTCATTCTCAAGTACCAAGTCCCCACCCACCAAGACACAAATCTCTCGAGAGGGAAAGGTGCTAGCAGGTCAGCACGCGGCCCTGACCTCCATCACAACAGCTCTTCATTCAGGACGCCCGGCGACATGTCCTCAGAGGTGGCCCCAAGCCCCCAAGCCAGGCAGCGCAGCCCTGACCCCACGTCTCCATCTAGGTTCCTGAGAAACCACCAACGGTGGTGGGCGAGCATGCACGCTGTACCTGGTAGGTGATCTCCTCGCAGGTGGCTGACGACGGCTGGGACGTGTGGCTCACTAAGATGACCTGGGGTGAGGCTGCTCCTCCAGGACCCGAGAGGGAGGGCTCCGTGAGCAAGGCTGGGAACTGCTGGCCCTGGCAGAGAGGGGCGGACGGGGAAGGGCGGGTAAGCCCAGTGGTGACGCAGAAGCCCTTTCGGGCGGCAGGCACTGTGGAAGCCAGCTGCAGGTCCTCCAGGGGAGCAGAGCATCACCGGGCGACTCAGCAGTTCCGCTCGAGGCATGGCCCCCAGTGAGAACCCACATACGCTGGGCACCCTCACATGAATGTCAGAAAGAGGCACCAACCCGCAGGGCCCACTAACTGGAGATGGAGGCGCAGTCATGGTGCAGCTCAGCGACGTGCCATTATCCGAGGACAAAAAAGAGCCCCACGTGACACACGCTGCAACACGGAAGACCCTTGCAAACAGTGCACTGGTGCGAGAGGCCGTGACAAAGGCCACATGTGCTGAAATGTCCACAGCAGGCAGATCCATAGAGACAGGAAGGATCAGTGGCTGCCTGGGCCCAGGAAGACAGCAGCAGGTGGGGGCGCTGGGCTGGGGCGGGGAGGACACACACAGAGGGGACACAGAGGGGACAGCAGCGGGTGGAGGGCCTGGGCCGGTGGACACGGGAGGGACTGCTAACGCTAATGGTATGGGCTTCTTTTCAGAAACACACAATGCTCTAAAATCAGATATGGTGATGGTCGCACAGCTCTGTAAATATAGTAAAGACCATTAAACTGTGCACTTTAAATAAATGGGTTAACTTTATGCTTTATAAATTATATCTCAATAAAGTTATTTTATATACGATATGTGTATGTATATGTGTATGTATATACCAGGGGTGCTGAAAAACTGTGCACAAGTGGACACTTCGGTCAGCGTTGCTCAAGCAGTAGTTCGCTGTCATCAGAAGTGTCTGGACGCTGATGGGGACCACTTTGAGCACCTCTTGTAATTACAGAAGTCAAATGTGACTTATATTCACCTTTTGTTATCGGTATATATTGAGTATTACAATTTTAATACAGTTAAAACCTGTGACTGTTTTGTAATTACCAATTTGTAGTGTGGTACCCACCTGGCACTATACATCATCATTACCATATTATTGACTATATTCCCTGTGCTGTACTTTGCATCTAGTAGCTACAAGTCATGGGGATGTCATTGGGGGAATCACTTCGTAAGTTACATGAAGGTCTAGCCACCATGCTGCACACCTGAAACTAATATAAAATTGAACGTCAACTGTAATTGAAAAATAAAAAATTATTTTAAAAACCCATGAATACAATGTAACTTACTAGCTATTACTAGTGTTTCAATTTTTTATACGTATTACGTATTCTTAATGCAAATGCCCTGATTCAAAATGCACATGTCTCATAAAACAAATGCTCAACAACTAGCTACACTTGTGGAGGTGACACCCCAAATCCGCCGAGATGGCCTGTGGAAGTCGTTTATTTTTCGATTGTATCGTTACTTGAATCCACCTGACCCTTTGCTATGCTGGCTTTACACTGAGGTGCAGGTTACAATAATTCTCATTCTCCACGTGCCATGGACTTTGCAAGCGCCCACACACTGGCCCAGGGGGGCTGGGCTCCAGCTCAACTGCTCGGTGGGCCCAGGCGGCTGCCTCCGAGTCACAGACTTTAAAAGTATTCAATGGACGTTCACTTTAATTACAATGGGTCCATTATAAGTAACCATAGTTTCTCATAATGATTTTTACGTGAACTCTGCTCAAGGCATTACCTCGGATGCACGCCCCTGACCCGGCCCGTCTTCCCCAGGGCTCATCCGAGAGCAGGAGGGACTGAGGGCTTGAGGAGGCCAAGTCCTTCCCAAGACCCTGAGGCGACGTGACGGCCTCCACACGCTCTTCTCGGGAACTGCCCAACAGCCAGTGGCAGCCTCGGGCACCGCTGACACGACGCCGGGGAAGCTCTCTGCAGAGCAGTGAGGGGATGGACAGCACCCACACACGTGGATTCATTCCCGTGACCATGTCCAAAGCCGTGTCAGTCTGTAGGCCCTCAGGGGTGTCACTAACATGCTAGCCTTACTTCTGTCTGGAAGTAGAGTTTGAAAAAAAATACTTTTCCGTATGGTCTGAGTTATCTTGTTTTTCCCTTTTTGCACTGAACATATTACTTTTTTATAGATCAGAAAAAAACCCACTTCAACTTTGAAAGAAAACGTTCATAAGAGGTATCTAGGGAAGACTCAGTGACTAAAGTTTCAAGATCACGCCACGCAGGGGGCTGCAGCTGCGCTGCAATAGGACAGGTGCGCACCCACCTGAGACGCGATGTTGAGTGTGACTGTGTCCAGTGCTCCCGAGAGCAAGCCCTGAGTGTCCGCCAGAGTCAGTGTGACGCTGGCCTCACCTCCCACTCCTGCTGACGACATGACCAGGTTCTGAGCAGAGACAGCAGATGGCGACGTCGGTGTCGTGGAGGAAAGGCTGCCCGCTGCAGTGGTCAGCTCTACAAAAAGGGTAAAATGAGTAGATCAATGGGTTAGCTGGGTAAGTCCAATTTTATGGCGGGGGGCGGGGTTCATCCAGGAGCTAATCCGTCATAATCAGCATTTATATTAGTAGGCTTCTGAAAGTGCATCAAAGAAGTCATAAAATCTTCAATTCCAGTTTTATGGAAAACCTGTAGTTTCAAAATATATCTTTATACTTAAATATATTCTGTTTCTTAAGTATAACACAGAGGAATAGACAGTGAAAGAAGGGTAAGACGTGCCTCTCCAGGCCCTGTCACTGCCGCCAATGGGGAAGGGGACACAGGATTTCTAGGATGTGGTCCCGCCCAGGACCAGAGCCCCGCCTGCAGAGGGACAGGCCGCGAGCCGCTGCGGGAACCAGCAGGCCCACCGCCCGCGAGGTGCCTTCCGCGTGTTTCCATTTCCACCAACTTCCCGTTCACTTATTCCGAAACACAGGCAACCAAAAGAAGCCCCACGCAAATCTTTGGGTATTAATTTCTCCTGCATGGCGCCTTATTTTTCTTTGGAGAAGACAACAAAACTTTTTAACTATTGTCCCCTTCGAGCCAGGGCTGAGAGGAAGGAAGGTACTGGGGCAGAATCAGGCACAGAAAGGCCTTTTGTTTAAAATTCAGAAACTCACACACCCCACCGGCAAAGGAGGTCGGCTCAGCGTCAAAGTTCTGGGGCGGCACCAACAAAAAACAGATTTTTAAGTTTTTACTTGTAAGCACAACACACACGCACGTGCACATGCACACGCATGCACACACGCGCAAACACACACTCAACCTGCCCTTCCGTTCACCTGACAAACACGATTTACCATCCCTTGCGCCTGCGCTGTGTGCTGCTAGAGGTACCAAGATGATACTAAAGCAGTTCAACGCTCTTTCTGGTCAGGTTCAAAGACAACACAGAAGCAGACTCCTATGGGTCCCTTGCTGTGACTTGGGCCCTGCACGTCCAGAGCCTGAGTCGGGGCCGGTGGGCATGCAGGTTGCGTACTTGTACCTGGACCCCTCCAGGTAAAAGGCGTCCACAGACCCCAATGCTGGAGTCCCGGAGTGCTGCACAAGCCTGGAACCTTCAAGAACCAGGGAACCATCAGGAAGGAGGCCGGAGTCTCAGCCTCAGCCCTGAAGCAGCCCCTGGGCCAGGCCCCTCCCACTTGCCCCACATGGCACAGGTGGCTCCTGGGCACACAGGACAGGAGTGCCAATGCTCTGAGCACACCAGTTATCAGCACACCAGCCAACCCATGTGCCCCTCACGTCACCTCCATGCACCCTGAGACACACACCTGCAGGGTGACTTGAACGTGAGTTGGGGTGATCGAAAGGAAGAGTGGTGTGGGACGTGGCCTCGACTAGCTACGTGAACGGCCGTTCGAGCAGTCACAAAGGGAACATGGCCGGGGGACGAAGCGCCCAGTGGGACTGCACTCGGTGTGAAGAGGTGACGAACAGCAAAGCCAGAGATGACGGGCTGCACTGCCGCGCAGAAGGCAGGACTGCCAACCTGCCCCGAGCTCCTGACGTAAAGGAGCCACAGGTCTCCTCCGGCCACTGAAACGTCCCCGACTCTCTGGTGACTTGTGAAGTGAAAGGTGCCAGGACTGTGCAGCAAATGAGCCTATGTGTCCAACCATCTCAAGGGGACCTGACCCGGGGGCAGTGAAAAGACCCCAGGACTTCTGGGTCCAGTCCCCACCCCGCAGCGCGCTGAACCAACCTGCGCGCCTCTCCTTAGCCCGGGAGGGCCCCAGGGCGGGGGCGCCGGTCAGGCAGAGCTGTCCTCAATATGGTCAAAGTAGGAAAAAACGGACATTTTCTTAGGCATGCAGTTAAATAGCTAATTAAGAGCTATAATTACATGTGTTCAACATATAGCTCTTAATTACATAAAAATGTATTTAACACTCTAGAAAACACAATTTTAAATTCAAATTAAATACTCTTTTAACATGAGAATTAAGCTTCAATACTTAAGCAAAGATTATAGACTCTTACTTTCCGTTCCCATTCATTTTTTTCTAAAACCACTATTCCTTTAGGACATATCACAGCAATCTAAATCCCACTTCATTTTATGATTCTAACTCAAAAAAAGTCATCTTTAAAGGATTAATAAATTCTATGTGTTCACCAAACCCAGCACTGTCTTAAATCTTTGTTGGTAAAAGTTCTTAGAGCTTCCTAGGAAACTTAATTATAATTTTGTTACGTAGTTTAAAAGATGTTGTTTTTTTTCTTGAGGTTAACAAAAAAGTAGCAGTAGAGGAGGTGGGGGTGACAGAAACAGGAAAGATACATTAGTCCAGTCCTTCATCCCCAATGAGAAACTTGAGAATGTCCTCTTAATTTTATTTATTTATTCATTCATTCATTCATTCATTCATTCATTCATTCATTCATTTACTAAGCTGAGCCATCCAGCTACCTGTTGGCAGCTCGGGATTCGAACTGCTGTTGCTCAGAGCTCAAACTCTTGAGTGAGCTCTTAACCTACTGAGCCACTCAGCCGGCCCAGAGAATGTCCTCTTAATTTTAAAATGTACCCAGAAATGGGAAATGTTAAAATTTCTGCACTTTGGGGAAATAAGAATTGATTGTACTTAAATCTAGAAGAAATGAAGGCTAACATAGCCTCACACAGAACTAGTACACAAAGAATTGGTTTTTTTTCATTTACTGAAAGAGGAACTCAGTTTTTTCATCAAAATTATCTTAAAAGCGAACTATGTTTAGAACAAAAAATGATGCCAATTTGAGATCAATTCCTTAAAAAGTTGTGCTGTTTCAAGCCTTTATTAGTACTTTTCCGCCTCTGAAAGGGCACCTACGCATTTGCCCATTTTCTAGGGAAACTATGTGTGTCAGACCTTGTCACGGATGTGACCAGGACATGATGTCCAAATGGAATTCGACCCCATATCACACATCTGGACAAAAGCGCATGCTTTGTCTTGCGTGTGACATTTTGACCAATCGCCACACTTGGATTGATTTGTAAATCCCTGAAAGGTAACGCGCGTCCTGTTCTAATGCCTTCAACAGGGATGCACACAGCCAGAGCTGCCCCAGAAGCTGATCAGCCCAACCCAATCTGTTCACATAGAGAATTAACAAATCACCACCATATGCTCAGAGAGAAAGGGCTGGCAACCTGAGTTTTACATGGAAACACCCAGAATTGGTATTTCAGTGTTTAACTGAGAAGAGGCACATCTCAGAGAAGGTCATTTTTCAGTTCTCACTGGTGTGGCCTGAAATTGGTCTGGAACGGACTCTGACCGTAAGATAAATACTCCCCATTAAGATTGCAATCTCCTGACCAACACTTACAGATAGGATTAGCTGCTTAATTATAACTAGTACCGATGGAATATGCAAACCTCTCTAAGAACAGAGTGGTTCAATGTGTGAAGGGTCTCTTCCTATTGCAAGTCTCGTCGCAGGTACCAGAGGTGTTTCCATGGGAACACAGAACCACCGGCCTGCTCACGTAGTGTCCTGGGTTTACAGCAGCTGCGACTACGTTTTTAAACAAATGTTTAATTTTGAGCTCATCATTTATTTTGTAACATCACCAAATCCCTTGAAAAACATATTTTAAAAATAGGACACCAAATTAAGCCAAACAGCATCAAAAAGAGAGAAATGTTCTCAGCTGTCTCTAAAATAGTAAGTCTAAAGGAAAGAAAAAACTTAGGAAAAGGAGGTATGTTTGCCCGTTTTAAAGAAACATCGGGGCCTATTATGGGAGCCGTGCACACAACCAGCTGCTGACTGCCACACCACTGAGACCCCTCCCCAGGTGAGAACCCCGCTGTGCCCGTGCAGGTGGGCTCTCCTGCTAAACACACCATGCCTGCCTAGCCAGATGGCCGTAGTTTAAGGAAGAGTGGAGCCAGAACAGCCCTCAAGTTCATGCATCCTCATTCCATCCAAGTCCCCGACTCTGACCACAACACTACCTGCGATTTGAAACTAGGTAATCTGCTGCGCCAGCAAAAACCCAGATCACCACACAGCACAAAAACCACTCCATTTACATGAAAGCCTCGAGAACTCTACTGTCTGTCCATCGATATGCCAAGTCACCAGAGGTCCAGCGGAGCTCCCAGGGGGGTGAGGCCACACCGCTGTGGCCAGGCCAATCCTCGGTGGAGCAGGTGGGGACAGCCCGTGTGTGTTCCTAACACTCCAGGGCAGCAACCCACGCAGGGCCTGACGGCTTCTCACGCGGGCCCACGTACAAGCAATGCGTGTGCACAGCCAACACCCAGCACGTGCGTGGGAAAGCAGGCACAGTCACAGCCTACGACCAGCGCTCTGGAGACGGTCAGTCAGCAGGCAAACTGCCTCGCCCTCAATGACAACGACACGAATCGTGACTTCCAGAAAGCCGGCAGAAAAGGTGTGCTATGTCACTGTAACAGCACATGGTGCACTTTAGATTCCTACCTATTATAAACTATGTTATATCCTAGAAGTCCCAGCTCGGGGCCAAGTAGAATATAAAACAAGAGTCCCCTTAACTGAAAAATAAACAAAACAGCTCTCATTTCAAATTAATAAGTAAAAGAGTTAAGTTCTACGATAGTTGTTCTAGAGGCGAAAATGAACCGCGCCAACCAAGGAGGGAAGATTAAGCAGGAAGAGATGAAGCAGCAGCCCGGGGAGAAAGCCCGGGGGCCGCCGCTGGCCAGGAGTCCTGAGTGCGGATCTGCCATCATGTGACTCAGCTTCTAACCGCTCAGGCCTCAGCGTGCCCTTCAGCAAATGAGAGGGGTGGACAGAGACTTGCTCATGCCGCCCTTGGCTTTCCATCCGCATCTCGCACACGCCGCTGCCTGACCTCAGCTCAGTGGGCGCCCAGGCCCTGCACGCCGTGCCACTCGCTCAGGAGAAGCGCTCCCCACACCCAGAGGGCCACTCAGCTCAGCCCAGGGGCCATAGAAATCCCCGACTGGCAGTAGGGTCAAATCCCCTGTGACCTGCTCGCTGGGCACCATTCTATCTCCCTTGTATGTCATTACCGCTGTAATTTTATGTTGCTCTACGAATTCTTCAGTTCATGGCTGTGCTCTATTAGTTTCTGGGATCCCAAATGCAAGGGGACCGTGTCTGCCTTGCTCAGGGTAACAGTCTCAGATGTAGTATAATTCTTACCACATAGCACGTGCTACAATCTTTTATTAAATAAATGCGTTACTGGCTAAGACAGCATTTCAATTAAGCATGAAAAAAGTCTAGCTGTGGGTACAAATATACCTACAGATTAAATTTTTTTCTCAAAAGATGATATATAGAGTTAGAAAATAAGAGGGCTAAGAAATTAATGAAAAACCTACAAGGTAAAGCAAGCCAGATAGGTGTGGCATCCTAAACTGTAGACAGTCACTTACGCAGCGAGATTTATTTTACTGGAGCCCATTTACTTCTAATAGTGCTCATTTGTTTTTATTTTTTATAAAAGTCTATACTTGAAAACCTTAGAAAGATGCCTCTTAATTTTGTTACCCTACTTGGCTGGTGCAGGAAATTCTCATTGCAGGGCACAGAGTACTGAGCAAGAGAAACTGCCAACCCAGGTAAGAGGGGGCAGCTTTGTCACCAAGGCATCAAGACGCTAACTTGTGTAAATGTGCAATGCCTTGTACAATTGAATACTGTTACTTACTGTTACTCCTTAAAAGGTACAATTATCAATTGGTTGATAGCTCTAGAGAGAATTCTGTCTCCTAGAATTATACACAAGCCACTGGTCACTATGTCTTTACATGACGTGTGACGGGACAAGCAGGTGGCGTTTGTCAGCTAACAGACGGCTTCCTGCCTTGCACTGACCAGGTGCACAGCCCTGTGACACCTAAGTGTGTCCCGCGGTTAACGCGTCAGCGGCCTACCTGAAGGGTTCAAGGTCGAGCTCTGCGAGAGAAGCTGGTCGTTGCTTATTGTCAAGGTGGCGCCTGCAGGCTGACTATTGATTGCAGGGGCTGACAGTCTCACGCTTCCGTTTAGTTCACTACTTCCATTAGAATTGTGTTGAATAAGATCTTGACCTAAATGGAAATTAATATTATGATATCGCAAGGTGACACGTTAATTTACACACTGGCAGGTGTCTTAACCATAGAAGACCATCTTATTAAAAATACAAGCTATATCATTGTTAATAATATTGATAGGAAACATGGAAATAAGACCAGGAAATACATTTCCCTAAATGAAAGTACATGTTTGTTCACATTTTTTAAGCTGTGAAGTAGTTTTAAATGCTTCTTAGAGCTCTCCCTATGACCAGGTCCTCCAATTTCTCACATATATGAGAAGAAACAGACATCTCCTAAAATGGAAAGTTCCCGGTTTTCTTCTAAATAATTTTCCTTTCCTTTCTATTCCAATAACAACTGCAGAAATCTCACTGGAACTAAAGTAGCACTGGCCTGGGTTGCTCTCGTGGTCACCTCAGCAAGATTCTGTCCCCGTTGTCCCCAGGTCTGAAGGGAAAGGTGGGTGCATCCAGCATCACGCCCAACCCAGGGAGCTCACTTGGACTCCCAGCAAAACGTTTTCTCATGAGGTTGTTACAAGGCTAAAATGAATTACTATTAAAGGAGTTAATATTTGTAAAAGTTACACAACAAGTGCCTGGCACATGGCAAGGGTCATAAAAACTGTTGCTTGATTTAAAATGACAGCTAGCATGAAGTGTTCACAGCTAAGAATTGTGTGGGCAGAGCACACCTGTGACGTATGCTCCAAGCTAACAGATCAGAACGTGCCATGAAATTAGCAACACAGGAGGAAAACGTGGCAGTGGAATCAGGGGACTGCCGGCCATGTGCCCGGCACGTGGGTTCCTCCGCCAAGTTCAAGGGACCCCCCACGGCCGCAGCACGCTGCCTCCCATTCCCCGGCTTCCCGGTGTTCTGCCACAATCTGAGGAGGCTTCTGAACAGCCCAGGAGAGTAGGCCGTCTATAAGGTCGCTGAACAGCTTATATCAACTCGACTCCTTCAGTTTAATGGAGCAAAATAACAACTGTGAAGCTACGGTTTTTCTGCTCTTTGCAAAACAAAAAATATGTGAGAAAAATCACTGACTCAAACTGGAAGTGATGTGAGGGACTGTCACTTCTAATTCCTGGGCTCAGATGGCATGGTGACTGCTTTCACTATACCTGAGTTTCTCACCTGAACGACAAACACTTCCTGAGCGCTGGCTTTATCGAAGGTCAGTGTGCAGAAAAAGACACGAGTAAAGTGCAAGCAGACTGCCAGTGAGAGGGTGTCTACAGTGGGACATGACTGACCGGAGATGGTGAGGGTGATCTCCTGCGGGGACCCCGAGGAGGACGCGGCGGGCCCAGCAGCTTGTGCCAAGACCTGGCTGAGGCTCGAGTTGTTGATGGTCAGGGTGATCTCGTGGGGGCCACCGGACGTGGACACCAGGCCTTGCGATGTCATCACCTGAGAGAGGTCTTGAGTCCCTGGTCATCATTAGAAAACAGAATAATAATTTCCTCCTTTTTATATTAAAAATATTTCAGTGCACCTGTTATTTCGGAAAGAAAATTCAAAACATCAGTCATCTCTAATGCCTCCATCAAAAAAGATAAGAGAGCCGAAAGATGAGAGCAGAGGTCCACAGGACCGAAGTGTCCCACGGGGGTTGTGATCTACGTGCACACACTGAAGAAACGCCGCCTTAGGACTTGGTTTATTTGCTGGGCTTTCGAGAGAGAAATGGCATCGCAGGGTCCCCTGTGTGGGGCCCGGAGCAGGAGGCCGCCCTCCCTCCAGCTGTCCCGGCTGGCAGAGGGACTGGCTCTTACCCCCGCTGCTGGCGGTCAGCACGGACTCCTGCTCGGACAACGGGCTGATGGTTAGGTTGGCCGCCGCCGCCGTGGGCTGCAAGGACAGGCCAGAGATGGGCTGGATGACAACACTGGCTGGGACTGTGCCGTCCGGGGCCTGCAGAGAGGTTCCTTGTGGGGCCAAGCCCGGCTCCCCTGTCAGCTGCTGCGTCACCAAGTTGGTCTGCTGTAACGTTTGCTGCAGAATACTCGGATCAATCTGAAAAGCATCGTGGATACTCGTCAGGAAAATGTCACTCTCACATGAGAGTCAGGACACATGAATACACAGAAAACATAGCAGGTGTCACACCTGTAATGTGATGTTATTGATGCTTGAGGCATCAATCCCAGAGATTTGAACATTCGGCCCGACCAAGTTAGCAGCCAACTGTAACTGGATGCCTTCCAGGGCGGCCAGGCTCCCCTCCGTCAGAGACACTGTCCAGTCACCACCAGCTGCAGGGGAAAGGAACAGCAATGAACAGGAAGCAGGAACGCTCCGCAAGCAGGGAAAACTCACTTGTATGCAGGGATTTTGAACACCGGAGTCCCACACGTACAAATCAAAATGACCTAGCACTTAATTTACAACACACGCATACCTTATCTGATCCAATCGTCACAAAACCAGCCCATGTCAAACACATCAAAAGCGAGGCTCACAGAGGTTACACTGCTCACCCAGCATCTCCAACAACTAGTAGCTGTGCTCTGGGCTGCAGTCACGCCGCCACGGGCCATGTAAGCAGCGGCAAAGCCGGGCAGGGTCTCTCGGAGCACGGCCCCTGCCCGATTGCACACGGCACTCACCTGACACGGAGGCAGGGAGAACAGCCTGGCTCACCAGTCCCTGCTGAAGCAAACTCTGATCGAACTGGCCCGTGAGAACCGAGTTGTTCATGACGAACACGCTGGGGTCGGTGGGGGACGGGCTGAGCAGGCCAGCGGGCGGGAGCGCTTCCGACGGGCTGCGGGTCACGGGCTTTCTGGCTTTCTTCGGGTCTGGTTTGTAATGAAACTGCATATGCGTCTTCCTTCGCCCAGACGTCCGGAACCGCAGCTCACAATGTGGACACTTGAAAGGCTTCGCTCCCGTGTGCAGGCGCATGTGCACTTTCAGGCTTCCCTTCGTAGAAAAGGCGTTGCTGCAGACGTGACAGCTGAAGAGCTTCTGACCTGCAAACAGCCGAGAGTCGCCATTATGTGCCCGCCACTGTCAGCGCCGAGCCCACGGCCCAAGTGCCCCCGAGTTCCCCTCTGTCCTGCAGGCTGCTGTGGACGGGCCGGGGGGCTGCCGGGCCATGGAAACGCAAGCTCAGCACACGTTTACACACGTAGGTCCGTCTTTCCACCACACTTGGCGTGTGCGGTCCTAGAGCAGTGCACCACTGAAGCTGGCGTGGAGCTGAGCGAAGGACAGTGTGACAACGCCTCGGCCCTCGGCACAGCCACTTCTCTGACTCACGTCTCATCCCTTCACTTCCTTTTTTGCAGAGGGGGCACCCAAGATGCCAGCACAGGTAGGAGCTGCCTTGAAGCACGTGCTCCGGGCTCACAGACCCATTGCTCTAGCACCACAGGCCAGCTCCTGGGACACGGGTTCTCACCCAAGAGCCCTGCCACAAACATGGAGCTGCCCTGGGGAGGCTCAGGAGCAGAGAACATTCCCAGAAACCAACACTGCCTGTGAACAGGGAGGGGCAGGCCAGCGTGCATGCTGGGACAACAGAGGCCCGTTGTCCCCACACTGCTCGGGCCCTGAGACCACGGGTGACTCCAGGATGGAGGCAGCGGCCCTGAGACGTGTCTTTCCCAGCCTCTGCCTCCTGCTCCTAAGTGTGCAGGGAGCCCACACAGGGTCCCGGCAGGCGCCAGGCCCAGGAGTATCGCCGGCCTCCCCGTGGAGTCAATGCCCTAGATGTGGGATCGCAGGGACAGGTGGGCTGGCAGCTCACAGCGCTACTCAGGAGGGACAAGCACCTAGCGGAACGGGAGCAGTGCCCACAGAGGAGATGTGCTGAAGTTCACACATCTGTGTACTTGGTTCCAAATACGAACCCATCAAGAGTCACAGGCCTTCAGATAAACGTGTAAAATTCCATCTGTACTCTATTGGTTATTACTGCTTATAACCAAAAACTAAGACTATAAACTAGTTGGATATTTGTAATCCTACGAATCACGACAAGTCTAACGTTTACTGAGAGTCCCCTTGGCCACGTGTCTAAGGGGCTTAACCCCCAGTGAAGGGGAACTGTCATCAGCCCATTTTCCACACGAGGAACCACAGGCTCAGAGATCAGGCCAGAGCCACGTGGAGACATCACAGAAGCAGGGCCTCCATCTGTGTTAATCAGGACAACTAACCTCCAGGCCCTCAAATCAGATGGAGAAGAGAAAATGGCCATGGAAACTGTATGTGAACTTTTTCCTTTATCAGGTTCCCCCCACATGAAAAGAATCACAGCCTGACAACTGTCATCACATTTGCTAAATCCCCCGTTTTTATACAACCTCAGCAAACCAAATCTCTGTGGCCTAAATGAGGCTCAGAGGCGACCTTTTGGACAAAAGTATTTAAAAGTCTGAGTAAGCACACACCCTAGAACCCCCCTGACACCTAGCCCCTTTCCTCAGTATAATACACACCATGTTCCCCACGTCAGGGTTCAAAAGCCTTTCTCAGTTATTTCTTCGGAGCTCCCGATTTTTATACTTTCTGTGCAAACCACGAAGGCACACATACGGAGCGCTGCCGTGACACACCTGGGGAGCAGGCAGGGGCCTTACCTGTGTGAGTCTTCACGTGGCAGTCTAGGGTGGACTTGACAGTAAAACTCTTCCCACATTCGTCACATTTATACGGCTTCTCTCCGGTGTGGATGCGGACATGCCTGGCCGGACAGCGTTGGCAAATAAGTGTTTTTCTTTTTAAGTTTATACACAAACACAAACAACTTCATGGTTTTAAATTTGTTAACTGTCCATATAAATAAGTTACGTGTTACTATGTAGTGAATACCTTGGCCAAGCAGAACTTTTAAGCTTCACTCTATATAAAAAACACCATAAACAAATCTAAAAGACAACAAAAATATTTGCAAGACGGATGAAATAGGGCTGAGTTCCTTAAAAACCACAGAGCTTGCACAAATCAGCGATAAGACAAGAACTACCACGCAGACACGAGCAGGGAAGAGGACAGCATAGCCAAAGCCTTAGGACAGGCATTGCCCGCACTGAGAACCGAGCGCGCAGAGGCGCAAACTGAAGTGACAAGACTTCTTCTCCCCCATCAGTGTGACGACGCTGTTGGCTGGTGGTCTGGGACGGGCCTTCCCTTCACGCATCAGAGAGAAATAAGCACAAGCATCCACAGGAAAAGCACTTTCTAACATGCACTCCGAATGAGCTTTAAAAAGTAAGCCCGGAAATTTGTACCAGCTTCAAGCTGTAACTCAAGAAAGAACCACCGCTGAAGTGCCCCAGACTCAGAAACACCCCCCCCCCACCCCCTCACCCCCGACTGCAAGGACAGCGACCAGAGGGCACAGAGGCGGTGTGCCCACCTGACCAGGTCGCTGGGCTTCTTGAAGCTCTTGGGGCAGTAGGAGCAGCAGTTGGGGTACTTGGGCTCGGCCTCCAGCTCCGCCTGCCGGTCCTTCACCTCGCTGATGCGGTCCTTCTCTGCAGCCGACTGCACCAGGACGCGTTCCGACACAGTGGCGCTTTCCTGCGGCGGGATCTTGGCCAACTGCGCCGTCTCCTCCTCGGTGAAAGTGATGACCTCGGGACGGGCCTTCCTGGACGCACTTCTTTCTGTGTTGTCTTCCTCTTCCTCCATACACATATCTAAAGAAAAGGGTCAAGCCTCATCAACGATTAGGTTCCAACAGGGCAAGGAAGTTACCACGAACCAGCGCGTAAGGTTCGAGTTCGCTGGCTCCACAGAGCTGCTTCTGAGACGGTAAAGGGAGTTTCCTGCCACTGTTCTACTGAGACCCGAGCATGGTCACGGGCAAGAGTGCGCCAGCGAAGGACGCGCCTTAGGGGGCCTGAGGGGGCTGCTCACTGACACAGAGACGCTGTGATGCAAGAGCCTCTTCCCATGGCTGTCAACCCTGAAGTGAGCTCTGACATTCTCAATGTCCGCACAAGCCACCATATTCATCAACACAGACATCCGTTTGTTCACATGGACAAGAAATGAATTATCATCAAATGAAGGAAATCAGCAGCACGAAAGAGGAGAGCAAATCCCTAACTCAGCAGACAGGCCCCGAGTAAGAAGACTTAAGGAAAAAGCAACTTTATATCTCTGTTTCTGTATTCTGTCACTGAAATGCGAGAATATATTCACAGGATTAAATACAAGAATAAGCTGCGATTAACATGTAAAAGAAGGAAGCTAAGTTGGCTGGGAGGCCTTGCTGCACAGATGTCTAAAATAATTTTTAAGAAAACCACAACAGAAACACTAACTAGCAAAGTGGACAATGGCTCAGACCAAATTTGTGGATCAAAAAAGAACTGGGTGATTTCTCCCAGGATACAGGAGAAAAAGGTGGCAGGGGCAGGAAAGAGGGGAGAGAAGGGGAGAGGGGGCCGGAGGGAGGCGGGGCGAGCAGGAGAGCTGTGGAGGGGAGCGCCATTTAGTCGGAATTCCAGAAAAAGAAAATAGGATGACTTGGAATTCCACATCTTGCCAATAAACTGGCAAGGTTTGGAGGCAGCAGGTTATAGACGCTGGCCCTACAAGACTGGTGAGTATGGAGATAACTGCATTAAACATCTGAAAGTAACCAAGAACGCAATCAGAACAGCTAAGGTCATAAGGAAAAAGGTCAGTGACATGGAGCCCAGCAAACAGAAGACACAAAACAAGACGGCGGAGTTAGGCCAGGTGGGCTTCTGTCCCAGCAAAGGTGAAGGATCCACCCTCTACCACACGGCGCCAGGTGCGGGGGAAAGAAATCCGCGCACAGAAATCAGTGACTTCTTCTCTATGGGCAGGAGATTCGCACGAGGCTTTTGTTCCCAGCAGCCCAAAGCAGAACGCCAGGACGTGCAGTCACGTGTACGGGGCGCAGCGCGGGTGGTGGAGCCCCCCGGACCCCGGGCCCGTCCTGGCGGCACTGACCTGAGGCATCACGTGCCCTGTCAACTGACGGGAAGGAATGTCCGCACTACACTTAGAGGTCACTTCCATCAGCCGATCAGCTAACTCTGCAAGCTAGAGGGTTCTAGAAATAATATGTGGATGGCCTATATTTTTTTAATTCATTGTAAGGAAAAGAGTTATTATTTTCTTTCTTTTTGTATTACATTAAATCACATGACAAGAAAAAAAATGGAAATAAAAGGCAGGAGATTTGATTCTGGGTGGTGAACACAATGCAATATACAGATGATGTATTATAGAATTGTATGCTTTAAACCTGCATAATTTTATTAACCAATGTCACCCAGGTAAATTTAATAAAATTTTTTTAAAAATTAATTTTAAGAAATCCACATAAAGGCTTTCCTAGGTACTATCAATTGAAAACTTGGAGCTACTGACTAAGCATAACAGGTCAGGTTCATCAATATTCAGAATTATCTACTGAAGAAATGGGAGGAACAGCTGCAATGGAGAAGTCAGTTTTGTTATCTTAAGGGAGACCAGGCACATTTTAAAGACGTATTCCCCAAAATGTGAGAGAATGGCGCGCTGCCCTGGACCCAGCAGCGCAGACATGCAGACGGGGAGTAAGCCATCGGGGAGGGGGCGAGGGACTGATCACCGTGAGTGCAGCCTCCACGCTCAGGGTCACCCCCAGACAGCGAATGTGGCTCACGGTGCTGCCACCGCCCCGTCGAGCCCTGTGCCACATGTTCCAACCAGCACAGCTCACGCTGTGTGCGGACTGACATCAGATAAACACTAGGTGCTGTGCGCTGGCGTCACACGTGAAAATGCATGTTCCCAGCACTGTGACTCACTGTGGAGCTTGCTAAACAGAAATCATCTGCTATGTACAAAAGGATAAGCACAAAAGCACACTCTCAGGGTCTCCACCTCACTTGCTGTGGGCATTCGGCCAATGAGCTTCTCTGAGGTCTGGCTGGCTCGTGTCCAAGGCAAGAGTAAACTACCCAGTGTTCCATGCAATTAAGTGAGATGGTCTAAGTGGTGAGCACAGGTCTGTGGAGGCCTAGAGCACTCCGGCGACGCTGTGCCTCTTACCGTGAACGACCAGATGAAAGCTCCACATCCATCAACAGAAGTTATGTGATAAAATATGACAGAACCCCACGGAGCCCTCTGAACTGGTGCAGACCCACGTTTAACAATGTCAGCTACATGTACAATCAACTCGGGACGGGAACTGAATGGCCCACGCGGTGCCGAGAGCAGACAGCCAGACCTTCTGTGGTGGGACACTGAGGCTTCCGTCTACACCAGGTGTGCCCATGCAAGGGGGTGGGCTGTGTTATGGCACAGGCTGGCGTTCTGGGGTGTGGGGACTAGTGACATGAGGAGTCATCTGCCCGCCTCTCTGACTCGGTTCTGCCAAGAGCATGCATTGCTTTCACAATCAGAAAATAAAATCAATAACTTTTAAAAGTGATTTCCGTGGTAACGTATCACTCAGCGAGCGTCATCCCCAAGCGGACAGTACCTCCTCCCCCGTCTGCTGCTCCAGCTGCTGGTGCCGCGGAGGTGACCGTCTGGTGCCTCCTCATGTGCTTCTTACAGTGAACGGTGGTCCGGAAACCCTGCTCACAGAACGGACACTTGTACGGCTTCAAGCTCAAGTGTGTCGCCATGTGCCTGGTGAGGCTGCCATTGGTCGTGAACGAAGCACTGCAAACACTGCAGCTGAACGCCTTCACTCCTACCACAATGGAAACAAGGCAAAATATGTACTTTGCTACCTTAAAACCACGTCGTCAAAAGCTGACAAAGGTACAGTCAATAAACCACAGGATTAAAGGGCGTTTCCCTGCTGCGGCCGTCTGGTTTTAGGGGCTGATTGCTGCAAGAACACAGAAACCAAGAGCGTGTCTTACTACATCCACGAGTGGAGTCCCAGGGCCTCTCCCTAAACAGTTTTTTGCATTTAAACAGGCAACATGTTTGTGGATTCGACCCTAGAAATGTTTTCTCAAACCATGTTTTTTCACATTCCCATAGCGAATGACAGATGAGGCCCTAAGGAATAGCCTGCAATGCCCCCAAGCAGCTTTATTTTCTGACGCAAAGACCCTCGAGGTCTCCACTGGGCTGATGACACACAGGCAAGCTAAGAGGGTGTCTTCTTCCAGCCTCTGTCTTTCTTCACAGAGTGGCCACCTTGACTTTCTAAAGGAAAAGCTGATCAAGCCACTGCTCCCTGGAAAAGTTGAACATGGATTCTCTCTGCTACGGTTACACTGCCTCCTTGGCGGGGCCTTCGAAGCATATAACCTCTCTCACCGCCAACACCGCTGCCCCACCGTCACCTCATGCGCTAGTCCACAAAGCCTCTCCTAGTTCTGTTTGTGTTCTTAAGCAGTACACCTTGGTGTGCAAATAAAGCCTTATACAGAACACAGATCGATATGAAACAGGTATATTAATATAGCGTTAAGTAAATATATTAAATGTATTAAACACATAAAAGTGGTACATTTAAAATATATTTAATTGCAAATTATATACCATATTTCCCCATGTATAAGACACTCCCAGGTATAAGACGCACTTTAATATTGGGGCCCGAAATTTCAAAAAAAATGCATTACATAAAGTTATTGAATTCAAGTTTTATGCATCATAAAATTCATAGAACTCCTCATTACTTAGGGGAAATGCAAGTAAAAAAACCTCCAACCACTGTATAAGACGCACCCAGCTTTTAGACCCCAAATTTTTCGTAAAAGGGTGTGTCTTACACATGGGGAAATACGGTATCTCATAAATATACTTAAAAACTCTTACAACTGAATAATGAGAATATAAATAATCTAACTGTAAACAGCACAGGATTAGAACAGAATTTCTCAGTAAGCTCTGAAACGATGCTCAACAGCATTTATCGTTAGAGAAGCAACTTAAATCCACAGTTAGATCCACTTCACACTCATAGGGACGGTCGTAACAAAAGCGACAGGAGTAAGCGCTGTCGCTTATGGGGCCCTCTTACATGGCTGGGGGACAAGGGAAACGGTGCAGCCGCGTGGAAAACAGCTTGGTCAACTCGAAGGTTTAAACAGAGTTACCACAGGACCCAGCCATCGCACTCCTAGTAGAGAAATGAAGACACGTCCACAAAGGCTTGTGTGCAGATGTTCACAGCAGGACTACAAGAGCCGAAAAATGGGAACGACTCGAATGCCCAGAAACTGATGGATAGATAATAAAGCGTGGCCCGCCCCTGCAGGGGGACCGCTGGGCTGTAAAACGAATGAAGCTCTGATCCAGGCGAGTGCGTGGATGAGCCCTGAACGGGGCCGAGTGCAAGAAGCCAGTGACAAGGGCCACATGTTGTGATCCCATTTATGTGAAGTGTCCAGAACAGGCACGCCCACAGAGACAGGAAGGAGGTCAGTGGTCGCCTGGGGCCGGGGCGCAAAGAGGAAATCGGGGTGACCACTGACGGGCACAGTGTCCTTCAGGCGTGAGAGTGTCCTAGAACTGACCACACAATCTCCAGTGCAAGGCGGATACTGACCTGTGTGCGTCTTCTCGTGGGACTTGAGGACCCCAGAGGAGACGAAGCCGCGCCCGCAGAGCTTGCACTTGTAGGGCTTCTCCCCCGTGTGCGACCGCACGTGCTGCTTCAGGTGGCTGGACTTCTTAAAGCCCTTGTTGCAATAGTCACACCTGGAAAAACACGGGAGAACACAGACCACGTGAATTCACAGCACAACTATAGATGTGACATCTGGGAATGACAAGAAGCAAGCAGCCCCGCCCACGGTCAGGAACAATCACTGTTCTAGGAGCTGCATGTGCTTGCCAACATTTAAAAGAGTATAAAATACGAGGTGTGATCAAAATATATGGTGAATGCTGCTGATGAGCGCCATCCAATGGAAAAGCAGGATCTTCAATATGGGAAGCGGCGCATCAAACCTCAGTAACAGTGTGTGACAAGTTCCAGCTTGTTGGGTGCAGTCAGTCGGGTGTGAGCTACGGTTGAGAGAAGGTGTGTTTTAAAGTGTGCTGTAAATCATCCTCCATCATGACAATGCTGTGTGTCACACATCGCTTCTGGTATACGGCAATTTCTGTCAAATAAAAACATGACGGTGGGTCCTCATCCACCTTGTTCACCGGATCTGGCACCGTGCGACCTCTGGCTCTTCCCAAAGTCAAAATGATTCAGGACATCGAGGCAGCCACGACAGCACAAATAAAGACACTCACGAAAGAGGACTTCCAAAACTGCTTCAGAAAGTGGCAAGAATGATGGCATAAGTGTGTTCATAGCGAGGGGGAATATTTTGAGGGGATTAATGGCAATGTGCCTTTTACTGTAGTAAAATTTTTTAATTTAAACATTCACCGTATTTTTTTATCACAACTTGTATTAGCAATAATAATCGGTTACAGCAAATTCTGCTCAGAGTATTTGTAGTGTTAAACACAGTTTATTATTTCTAAACAAGTAAATCCTACAGTTATTCCCCAGCAGGCGTAATATTTGATTCAGTAGGAACTCTTCTTTAAACTTAAGAAGAAAATGTACTAAGTCAGTAAGACACTGTGAATGCGTCCTTTGCTTCCGGGTCAGAGTCACTTCTGAGTCTAGACACTTAGAGATGCCAATTCATATGTCCTCCTGATTTATAAAATACTTTAAAAAACAGAAAACAGGTTTTACTGGAGCTATTCTGAATCTATAATTATGCAGTAGTATTTTTCCCTCAGTTGTTATAGAATCCATTAAAATTATTTTAAGGAAAAAAATAGTTATAAATTTCAAAATTCTTATTCACGTATTATTAAAAAGCCAAAAAAAAAAAAAACAAGAAAGATGTAGAAAGCTTATTCCATTCCAGCTCCCTGATTTTTCCATTTCCAAGTTTCAATCTGTGGTAGGAAGTGAGTGAAGTTCTGAACCATAATCTCCGACACCAGGTACGGGCAGAGATGGGCTGACTGCTCTAGTGCCCACACTACGCTGGAGGCGATGGAAGGCAAATGCGGTTGGACTTCCCCTCGGACATGCAGCTGTGCCTTAGTGGGTCATCTAGTAAACATGGAAAAGCAAGCAAGCAGCATCGCCAGCTGGGTTTTAGACAGATAATTCTGCAGATGAAATGGGACTGACTCTATCCACATGGCAGCAGAAGAAAATAATCTATTTGCAGAACTAAGTTCCACCAAACCATCTGATATTTGCTGAGAAAGGTTCTCTAATTAGGAAAGCAAACTGTTTCAAATCGTCACATCTATCAATTAAAATGGCACTGGCAGCACTGTGGGAAAACAGCCACCGTTGGGGAGCAGTCTGAGAGCAGACCTTGCAGACTCACGGCCGGGCCCCTGCCAAGCTCTCCCACCATGGGGGAACCACGCTCCAGCCACGCCGAGATGGGACCCCCCCCTCCCCGCCTGTGCAATGCCACTTTCTCTCTCCTCAGGGGCTACGCCTGCCTGCTGTGCTGGCCAGTTATTCTTCCAATGCGTTCAACAACCCAAATTATAGGAGCTAACGCTAAGGGCAAACTCGCTACAGAGAACCTCCATGCCAGGAGGTGTGCTCCTCAAGAGATGAGGTACGCTGTCGAGCCCCAGTGGGCTTCTGCAGTGCGTTTGCCTGGGAGTCACATCTCCAGGGAAGCTGGCTAGTCCCCACTTTTGTCATACTTATGGGACAAAAAGTCATAATGAAAGCACGTGTGCAGTAAGATTACAGGCGCCGTGTTTTGACCGTCTTGGGGGAGGAGCCCGAGCTCCGAGCGAAGCCGGTGGAAGCTCCAGGCCCTCTCCTCACAGAAGCACAGGGCGCACGGTGTCTCTCAGGGCTCGTCCGCCCCCTCGCTCAGCGCTGAGGGGAGCGCCCAAGGTGTGATCTGAGCCCCTTCGCTCATGTACAGACACGTCCCGGGCCTTTAAACAGGGGGCTATTTACTGACAACCTCTGGGCGTGTCCTCCCAGCCTGGCCTCTGCCCTGAACCCCTAAATGGCACTGGCAGCACTGTGGGGAACCTAACTGCCCGTCCGCTCAAGTACGGACCCTCACGGCGCGACGCCAGCTCTCGATACTGACACCAACACAGGCCCCCCTGAGGCTGTCTTCCCGTTTCCAGGGACGGCAATTCCATCCTGCTGGCTTGTCCTATCAGCCGTCCCTAACTCTTCTCTTTCTCTCACGGCTTCACCTGTAGTAACTCCTGTAGGTTCTACCCTCTAAACGATGCAGAATTTGCAATCAGGCAGCAGCTGCCTTTCCAGCGGGCTAACATACGGTCCGCAGCAACGCTGACCCACGTGCAACCGCTAGTTTATTTTGCTTACCATCTTTTCCCGCTAGACTGTGAACACCGTGAGGACTGAGGGTTTTTCTTGTTTTGCCCCAGCGCTCAGCACATAACACGTTCTCAGTGAGAGTTGAATGAATGAATGGTGCAAGGCTAGGAGCCCGACGCCCAGGAAGTGTCACAAACGGCTCACGAGGAGACATTAACCTCACTTCAACGGCCAATGCAAATCCCAAATTAAACACTAGCGAACAAATACTCATTCACCTAACGGAAGTGTGAATAAAATGTTAGGAGAGCCCCAGAAATCCTGAAGCCCATCTATGTGTCCCCTCAGAGTCCACAGACCCTTCTCCCTGCCAATTAAGGACCTCTTCTCTAGTACAGGTTGGAATTTGCAAATCCATGAAGCCCTCAGGATAACACACTTCTGAAGGTCAAGAACCTAACATATAAGAACACTGGTTCAAGGTAGTGGAGGTCTCGTTTGAAAAACAAATCCCCTGAAAATAAAACAAAGGAGTTATTTGGCCTCTGAAGAATCATGTGTTTCACACTGGCAAAACTTACCCATTTTTAAAAATTTTAATTAAGACCACTCATTTGAGGTTATATAGTTCATGTATTTTTTAAGAGTAACTATAAAGTAAGGAGGTTTGTTGGTTTTTTTTTTTGGTTAAGTGGCTCTGGAAAAATTATTAAAGTTTCAATAGTATTTTAAGTAATAAAATTATTAAAATGTTATAAACCCCAGACTGTCTCTATAAAGACAATAGTCACTTTGTTATGACACACGTACTCATACGTAGCTGGATAAAAACACACATACTGTCTTCGCCATAAATGCCCATGTCCCAGAAGGAGCTGTGATAGGAGCCCCGTGTGTTCTTCCTACCAGTGTTCCCAGCGTGCAGAGCAGGACATGGTCCCCTGAGGGCACTCAGCACACACACTGCTGGACGGATGGAGAATGAGCCGACGAGTGAATTTTAAAAACTCTGAACTCACGTTGTACCTGGGTTGTCACATATAAAGCACAGAAGAGCCTTGGACAAAAGGCACAACGTAAACTGAAGTTATTTCTGAAACCATAACGATGGCTTCTACTGGTGACAGGAAGCCGCGGCACCCACGTCTCGGCCCTGTCACTTGTCAGCTGTAGACGTTTAGCAAGTTACTTTCTTGTGTACCAGATCTTTCATTTATGAGGGGGGGATGACAGTGCAACCTATTTATGAGCTGTGGGAGCACCGCACTGCAAAGCCCCGTCCCGGCAGAGGCCCAGCTCGGTCCCGGGAGCCGGTGCCCGTCAAGCTGTGTGAGCAGCTGTCTGTCTACCTGTAAGAGCGCCGGCTCTGGTCCTCGCTGTCCTCCAGGAACTGGGGACGTGGCGCCTGCAGGTCCAACTCCTCTTGGGATGACTCTTGAATCAAAGGAGTTGTCTGAAATTTAACAGAAGTATAAAGCAGACTACTTGACTATCTATGAATAAATACAGAACTAACAACCAAAGATAATAACATTTACAAATACGGATTTAAAAGGGAGACTCCTCGGGTAGTTGACTGCAATCTACTGGGCCAGATGAATAATAAAAATCACTTACAGTGATTTATTAAATAATATTTATTTTATTTCCTATTAACTTACTTGAACACAAAGTTTAATCAAGCATGAAACTGATCTTTCCATATTCTTTATCTTAATAAATAAAATGTGCTCGTCTCTTACTGAGAGTGAGTAAACATCCTACTTTCTGCGAATACTAAGCCTGCTCGCGTGTTGCAAAACCCCCAGGCGGGGAGGGGAGCATGCTCTTCACCCCAGGCAGCAGCCTCCAGGGAGCAGGCCCACCAGCCACCAACAGTGGCTTTTAAAGCGAGAGAACAACTGATTGGCCAATCATTGTCGTAACTATTGAAAATTTTCCAAAAATGGAAAAACTAAAATCAAAACTTGTCTTTAAGTTGACAGAGATCAAATTTTTAAATTATGTATTTAAACATTCATTCTTAATATGTCAGCATTCATTATAGTTTCATCCTAACACATTTAAGATTGCACACATAAAAATGTTTGGTTTTGTGACTAAAGCAACATAATATCCTTCCTAAGTTATTACACAACACTCTATTGAACTTCCTGATGTTTAACCAAAAAGTAAAGCCACATGATGGTAATGAAATCCTTAAGTAAAATTGAAATGTTTTTAGGGAAAAAGAAAGCACTATATGCTAAACATTTCAGTTTTCACAGGGGCTGCAATAATCTCAAAGTTGTAAGAAGTTACCAAGGCTTCTTAAGCAGGCAAGTTCTCAGTGCTTACAGTGAAGGACGCAAGAGCCTCCTGAGTGAGGACAAGGGCCCCTGTGTGAGTACTCACGACGGTGATGGGGTCGGAGCCAGGCACCTGCAGCAGGTTCTGCTGCTGGAAGCTCGTGGACAGGGCTTGCGACTCCAGTGTGCTCGAGTCTTGTAACTGTTGGACAGGTGGAAACTGGGTCTGCTGATTGTATGTATCTGTCACCGTAAAACCTAAAACAGAGAATGTGAGTTCCACAAAAAAATATTAAAGACACACAAAAAAAGTAAAAGAAAAAAGTTGGTTTTATAAGAAAAGATGTTTAAAAGAGCACTTCTACTTTCTGAGTTAGAATCAGGATTGGTTCTTATCAGCAGGCTCTAAAAGTTTCTGCCAACAGGAGACAGCTGTGCTCAGCACACATCCTTGCTTTGTGGACTTACAGACCAGCCATAAACACCCAGTTACCCCTAAGTCCCAATTTCTATTCTATCCCCTTTCTTGGCTAGAAACTATACTTAGAATGGTTTTGAAGGTGGCCTTCCGAAAAATGTGAGTCCACAAAATAGAGCTCTCGCTCTCTCTCTCTCTCCCTCTCTCTCTCTCTCTCTCTCTCTCTCTCTCTCTCTCTCTCTCTCTCTCTCTCGTTCTCTCTCTCTCTCGTTCTCTCTCTGTCTCTTTCTCCATGCAAAGTTATTCGAAACCATAAATGTCAGAAGCGCCTAAAAGAAACATCTCAAGTACAGCTCACAACAGCCCTGCCTGGGACCCCCACTGACCCTGAGACAAGCCAGCCGGTTCGAAGGACTGCTGTGGGGGGGCCTGCTCGTCAAACTGGTCCATGTGCCCCGGGAGAGCATGCTGTGCAGCCACAAACCTATCTGAAGACAAGAATGCAGAGAGAGGGGAGACTCATAAATGGAGGGTTATTTCCGATCTACCACCCTGTTCAAAGGGTACTTCAGCGAGTTGTCAACTATCAGCCTCCGTATTTTGAAAGGACGGTGGCAGGCACCTTTTATATATATGACATATGGTTAAGGCTTTACCTTTGTACTTGCAGAATATCACTTCAGTTTATCCAAAAACGTAGACGTTCTTTTAAAAAGCAATATGCTAAATGCAGTTACATTCAGCAAGTATTTAAAATCTCTTAGATGTGCACTGTTCTACGTAAGAGAGGATCAAAACCACAAAGTCCTGCTCCTGACCCAACGCGCTGGGGGCAGCCACAGCGCAGCGCAGAGGCGGCGAGCTGCTAGCGCGCCTGGCCGAGAAGCAGCCCGAGCGACGCAGGTCAGCGGCATCACTAAGCTCGCTGTCCACAGTCATGCTGCTTTTTTTTGGTAGCAACTCTATGGACGAAGGAAGCAGTGTGCTGGATAGGGCCCTCCACTCGCTGCAGGCCGGTGACTGAGTCTGCAGGCCTGAGTGGCTGGGACAGAGTGGAACGGACTCACGGGTGCACACACGGGAAGTGACGGGCATTCGAAACGCAGGCAGGGCAAAAGCAGGTCGAGGAACAGGTCCTGTTTTTCTAATTCCATATGCATATCGCACGCTCTCTCTCGACACATGCAGAGCACACAGTGTGACAGTCAGAGGCGGGGACACCAGTAGGGACTGCAGTGAGTACGAAGGGCCGGGACACTGTATGGAGAGTTCTAGAAGTTAAAACTCCTGACACACATACCTTCGTCTGCTTCCAGAGGTGGGTCTGTCAACTGCTGACTGAGCCCGGGGTCTTCTGTCCCCACGACGTGCTGCGGCTCCAGGTCCAGCATGGATGCAGGGTTTGCCGTCACGGTGTCAGCCGTCTGCTGCAGCTCCGGGCTGCCCATGTCCACGGGCACCTGCGTGGACACGGACACGCCCTGCTGGCCCCCGGTGCTGTCATCCATTGAGGCGGCCTGCGGATGCTGCTGGAGCTGCTGCGCAAGCTCGTATCTTCAAAACAACCACCGGAAATTCCTCAAGTTAGGTTCCGTGGACAATTACCAGCACAGAATGCTGCTGTGCAAGCTGCAATTCATTCATGATTAACACTCTTACTATTAAATAATAATACATTGTTATGCCACATTTTTATCTTCAATGTCCCCATTTTGAAGTCACATTAGATCTGTTAACATTTCTGAAGGGACACTGGGTTGCTTTCGTGCTCTCAGATGACAGAAACATGAAGGCAGCAAATGGGGGACGAAGGAAAACACACACCAGAATGTCTAAGTTAAAGAAATTTAAAAGATGCCACCTGCTTCAAAGTACAACTGCCCCCGCTCCAATTCTGCAGTGAGTGAGTTTCAGAAAAGGAGCTGCATGAAACAAGGAGGTGCCTGGAGAGGCTGATTTCAGTATCAAAAATGGACTTGCTGTCCAGACAGGGGAACAAATCCCCTGACCTGCTGTCTCTCAGCCTGGGGGTGCAGGCACCACATGTGACCGACTGTCCGCTGTGTTACAGGACGCAGACCAGCAGGCGGACGGCCTCTCTGATTTTCTGCAAGATCATCATTCACGTTAATGTTGCTTTTACTATAGAGTCTGTCCCATACGTTTTCATCAAGGTCCACAATTTCTCTTTTACAGAGAAAAACTAACAATGAATTCAATGAATAAATCAAAGAACTTAAAAAAACAGCTCAGTCATCTGACTACCAGGCTGCACAGTGTCTGAGGCATGAGTGACCGGCCCCACAAGACATCACAGGCAGACCCACACAGGTTCACCACATGTCTGACTCCAGAATTTTATCAATCTGCCAACTCGGAACTGCATTCTTAGCTCCAAACAAAATCTTTTCATTTTCTGGTATGAAAAATGGTCCATCCTCATGAAGTTTCAGTGAGGAAGAGGGAACAAAAATGTAATAAAAATTAGCAGGAATGAGAAGAGGCGCTGTCACAGGTCACCGTCACGGCGCCTGTGCAGTGACGCCTGGAGCTCACGCGTCTTCTCCGCTGCTCCTCGATGGGGGACAAAGGCGTCTTGCAGGATAATGTGGGGCTCGTTTTCTGCGTTTGCTGGGGTGTTTTTTCAATGCCTTTCACTACAGTAACCTTTAATACCTGTTTTCAATATAAGTGTTATGGTATTTTAGAAACTCCCAACACTTCGAACAAAGGGATGAATACCTGAACCCACTGTGTGCCCGCAGGCAGGTTCACAGTACACACAACCTGTGAGAGAAACACCCAGTGCTGCAGTATGACAGACCTACCAGTCTGTATTGTCACCTCGAAGCTATACGTTCATCTCCTAAACTAACAGGCACCTGTGCCTGAGCACGACCCACGACAAGCGGTGGCCGATGTGACACTGCACCTAATAGAGGTGACCCAGCTAAGAGCAGCTGGCCTACTTCCCGGAGATTATAGCAGTGGCCATGCAGTCCCTAGAAAGGGTTACACCTGGACGTCCCAGTCCCCCACAAAACTGCTGTAAAGGCTGCTGGGCAGAGCAGCTTTACCATGCTGCCAAGCAAGACGGCGCCCGGCTCCACCCCGCACAGGGCACCCTCAGGCTCCCTGCCCCAGCTGCTCGCCAGAGCCTCTATGCACCCAGCGAGTCCCCGTTCCTGCATGCACGTGAAGCATGAGATCACCTCAAAAATGCAGCAACGCAGAACTGGATGTAACTGTCAGGAGTCCCCTCTGCTGACACCACCAATATCCTACTCCCTAAATGGTTTCAAGAAGCATTAGACTTCTCGGCTAAGTAATCAACTGTGCCAGTCAGGAAAGTCAACCCTGTCCCGTGTGCATGGGCATCCAGTGGGTCGTACCAAGACAACTACTTCTCACTGTTAACTTCTTCCAACATCTAGGGTTTGGTGTTGTAGGGGATGTCCAGGCAGAGACGTCTGGGTTAAAACACTGTTGCAACGTAAATGTTCAGAGGCAGAAGGCGTAATCATCTTTTAAGGTAGGCCCAGAGACTCTCATTTTCAAAGTCTCCCGGGAGGGGTCCCCTCATCTAGGCTTTCTGTTACAACATGGAACTCTGTGGCTTCACAGAAATGCCCTCTGAGTCAGAGATGTCTGTCTGCAGGGGCTCTGAGCATCCCCTCCCTGCAGACATGAGAGAACACATTAACCATGTAAAACTGTACGTTAGCTTTGATGGTGGATTTCTGTGGGTGCTAACACACATGTTCTTTAAAGGCAGCAACACAGAGTAATTACCATCCAGATACACTAATGACATGCCCAGAAATCCCAGGGTGACTAAGATTTTCTTTTTTGAACTCTTCGCTACCTAATTATACTAGATATAGTCTACTCAGCGCTCCATCTATTATTGACTATCAGTTTTTAAAGAGAGCTGACAAAGCATTTAAGGCCAATATAGGCTACACTTCCGTATTCTATTAAAAAATCAAAATAAAAAATAGACAATATCTATGGTTCTCAACAGATCCTCAGAAACAGATACAGAAGTGTCTTTAGCCCATATACCTCAAGCTAGAAGTAACAATATAGGAATCGAAGACAATTATTTCTTAAAAACACTCTCCGCCACCATGTGGGAATTGTAAGGGTTATTAAAAGGCGACCATCAGAACGATACCTACCTATGGGTTTTCATGTGCTTTTTGCAGTTTAGTGAGGTCTTAAATGTTTTCTGGCAATAGGGACACATGTAGGGACGCAGATCATTATGGATACCCATATGCCTCCGTAAGCTGCCACCAGTGGTGAAAGCTCCGTTACACAGCAGACACTTGAAAGATTTTAGTCCAGTGTGCGTCCGGACGTGTGCTTTGAGCACTCCTGCAGAGACAAAGCCTCTTCCACACTGAGGACATTTAAAAGGCTTTTCACCTGTGTGTGATCTAGAAAACATAAACATTTTCATCAATGAGCAAGCTTCTGACACTTTAGTAATCTTTGTAACTCAGAATGCACTCGCATACATCATTTCACTCCATCCTCGCTTCCTAAAGCTATGCAGCAGGACGCAGCCCTCCACGTGCTGCCAGGGAGAACGCCTGAGTCGGCGGGGCCCGAGTGGCCTGGCTGGGGTCACAGGACCAGCACGCCGCCGAGACAGCGGGACCCCAGGCTTCTCTGAGCTCTACACTCTGCTCACGACATCTCACTGCCTCTCGCGGCCAAGGTTCTACTTTCTTTGTTCACTGCTGTCAGCACCAAGAATTAACCTCAACTCTGATAAATACCCTGAAAAACTGTTAAAGAACATACATCTAATGAAACTAGCCAAACACATCTTTGGCATGTCCTAGAAATTGCAAACACTGAAATATAACAGGAGTGGCCATTTCTGGGTAAAATGTTTTAGTCAAGGCACTAAAGAATAAAAATATAACTTACCAATAAATATTTTGGAGTCAAGTGTGACATTTTAAATACCAAAAGCTAACACTAATCATCCTTAATATTTCTATAAATCACCAGATCACTAAATCACTGTAATTATACTATATTTCCATTTCTGAATGTATGTTACCTTACCTGATATGTTGTTTAAGGTGGCAAGATTTTTTATATGCACGATGACAGTATAAACACTTGTATGGTCTATCTGCTTCATTTACAAAATTATTATTAAAATAACTTTGAAAAAACTGGTTTCTTGAAATGGGCTGGATAAGACCTACAAACCAAAAGAAAATCAGGAATAATTTACTGTCAGTGCTACTAAAATAGTTAAATGTCAAAAAGCATCTGTTGTACCCAGAAGTTGAATATTCTGAGGAGTTCAAGTATAGATTCCAACGTGGTAACGAAATGCTACTTTAATGTGTCAGGAGCTGGCAAGTTAAAGAGTACATCTCGGGAAGTGCTTATAAAGTTGGTATAAAATCAACGTTTTCTCAACATGCAGAATACCTACTTTGTCCCAGTCCCTTCCCTTGATTCTAGAGCCGATTTTAATGGATTTCTACGTCTACTTTCTACATGAGCATTTGTTGGCATGGCATTTATACAACTTTATCCAAAATGTAAGCGAATCAGGATTTTAAAACCCTTACTTGTTCAGTATGAAGGTTGCACACTAGGTACTACAATAAACTCAAAACAGAAATGATTCTAACATGATCTTGCATTCTAAAAACAATCAGTGTTTTCACAGGAATTTTATTAAAGGGATATGTGAAAATAGGCAAATTAGTAACTTACATAATAACTTAAATAATTCAGGTTTTACACAGTTTCGATTTTAATAAAGAGTTCCGTTAGTTGACCATGTAACAAACATGTCTGATGGAGCTACTGAGTGATGTGTGCAATTCAGGACAAATGTGCATTTGAACCTTTTGCATCACTTAGTATCCACCTGGAACATTAAGGGGAAGTCACACTGTCGCCTCTGTCTTGGCTGGTCCCCCTCCTTCCAGGACTGTGCGCTGTCCGCCAAGACTCAGGGCTACGCCCACAGCCCCTCGCCTGCCTCAGCTGCACCACTCACTTTATGCCACGATGACTGACAGGCACTGTCTCCCTGACTTTTCCTATGAGCCAGGTCAGAGTCCCCTTCTTTGCCTTAAACCAGCTCTCCCGGCTGTCCACAGGGAACTACCCTCTCTAGTCACACAGGGCAGGCGTTCCAGAACCTTGGCGTTCACCAGTCCTGGACGTCCACTTCTCCAATGTCTCTTACACTCGTCTCAAACAGGGAAACAATGGCACAGTGGAGAGGCCCGGACACTCAGTGCTGAGTCACGTGGCTCATGTGTGAGCCTGGAGTCGACCGACCTGCGCTTCATGCTGCTGGCATCAGAAGGCGGTTTATTTTTCAGAGAATCCAGCACACTCCGTGACCTGTGCAGAATGCACACGGCACAAACCCTGAGCGCTGCCACCCCCGCTACCTCGCACGTTCTCCAGACAAGTCGGCCGTGTCGATGCCACCCCAAGACATTCTCTCCAGGCAGCTCCAAAGCCATTCAGGCATCACGGCGACACCTCGCTTTTCCTCACAACTCCTCTCTCCCGCTCAAAAGAAAAAACTTCCGTAATTCAGTCCACACACCACGTTCTCCGACACATGTGCTGAACCTGTAAAAGGGCCACCTGTGGACCCAGACTCACACTCTCCACCCCGCACGGCTCGTGGCAGACACTCAGCGAGGCCCCGCCGGCACCCAGTGGCTGCTCTACTCGCCCTTCTCGCATCTGACGGAAAAGCTGGGATCCTGACAGCACCGCGTCAAAGCCCCCAGCGGCCTCCTCTCGAGAACGTACTGACACGGCTGCCAGGCGGACCCTCCAGCGCGGGCTGGCGTGCTCTCCACCTGTCCACTCGGCCACCCGCCTAGTCCATGGCGCTGTCCTGTCCCTCTATACCCCGTGCGCTCGCTGTTCTCCGAACAAGCCCCCACTCCCCTCGCCACGCTGTGACTTATCTCTAGCTCAGCACCTGTCATTGCTGGTATCTGTCCCACACCCCACTGGCCACAGCTTCTTGAGACTGGGACCCTTCCCATGGTCACGGACACAGTCCTGTGCCCACATAGCACCTGCCAAGTAGGACACGTAAATACAACCGAATAAACGAAGGCCTCTGTTCTCGGTATCTAGACAATCCGGGGGGAACGGAAGCATGCACAAATTCAAACCAAGGTCGTTCGCTCAGTCTCACGGTCAGCCTTGATTGGGCATCTACTGGGCTCAGGAAACCATGTTAGGGTCTATGAAGAAAACAGAAAACTAATGTGAATATTCTCCCAAATGGCAACGGAAGAGAGTGACGCCTCTGGTCACTACGAGGCGTGGGAAACGAGAATTCAGACGCTCCCCGCGGAAGGCAGCAGGGAGCGCACCACACAGCACAGCTACTTGGAGCTTCATGCAAACAGACCCAGTAACTATTAGCATAAAGGCACCGCCTGATGAAAATCGTGAGCGCCAAATAATATCTGATAAGCCGCTTTGTTGCTCTTATTGAACTAAGTGGAATGCCTGGTTTCTAGGAAATACACTAATAAAGAAATTTTTGAATTCTCCTCCCGCAACTAAAATGAACTGTGAATATGTGAGCAATTAGTTTTATCTGCTTTATCAGACAAGATATACATTAAAAAGCAACAAGAAGGAAAAACAGGAAATTGAAACAATGTTAAGCAATTAAGTTATATAAATTCATGGAAGTAGGTAAAACTAATGAAATTCGCAAGGTAATTTTTCGATAAAGTAAAAGCCTGTCTCACAGGGGAGAAAATAAGGTACTTCACAAATAAGAAAACATATTGTTTTTGCCATTTCCCACACCTATAAAGAATATATGCCTGGGGTTCGGGGAGTGGGGTGGGTTAGCTGTTCAAATGCTTACCAACTCATCGGGCGGGGAGTCAGTCAATGAAATTAGGGTTTCTGGGGCTTTCGTCCCCAGTGCTCTGCAGCGCAGGCCTGATTGTGTGGTCACACAGGAGCAGTCAGGCCGGGGACGCCTCCAGGCTGAGGCCGCACCTGACCTGGCACCTTGCGACAGACAACCAGCCGTGGCGTGGTCAGCCCCTGACTTCTCACCTGCACTGAAGCAACCCAACCAGGATCTTACCGAGACTGCAGGCTGGCTCTCTGTTCACTGGGAACCCTCTTCTATGGTGCAGTCCCCCTCCAGCCACCGACCCCTGCAGCCAACACCCCACCAGTCGCCCATGTTGTCCTCCCACCTCCTTCTCTGTGGCTCCTGGAAGCCACGGTCCATAGTAAACGAATCCTCTAGCACAAACAACTTCACAGGCTGCCGAGTTCATTTCTTTTCCACGACAACGTCTGGTCACACTGCTCCCCTGAAGCTCTCTCAGTGTCACCCCGGAAGACCCGTTCTTTGAGGCCGAGGCGCCGTGCCTTCGCGCCGGCCCGTCCTGTCTCCAGCACACTCTCGCTTCCTCCCCAATCCTGCCTGCACCCCAGGACCCACGTCTGCTCCCCAACCCCATGCCAAACCGCTCTTACGCAACGTGCATGTCCTCTGGCCCCTTCTAAAATAATTCAGAAGATCACATACGAAGAGCTTGCACAGTGAGGCCTCGCAGGGAAAACCATAATGAACAGTGTGGTGTGCATTCTAACAAAGAGTTTGCTATACACAAGCACAAGCAGGACCAACCGTATGCACTGCCCTAGTTACGAGTCTATAACCCGCATATACGCTTAACATCTTTCCAAGTCATTACATATGGCATCGTCCCCACCACCCTTCGGATGTCTGCAAAGACGTCCCGTGTACCGATGCCCTCTGGATGGGGACTTCCACTGCTGCTAACCGTACACTGTCAGAAGGCTGCCACCAACAACCAGTGTACACAACTGTTACCTTAGCCCCTGCCCCAGACGCGGAATCATAATGTCTGGGCTGGTCTCTAGCACAGGTGCTCTGAAAGAGACCCCAGATGCTTCTGCGCCCTTTCCGGTGGGGCGGGGGAGGGGGATTCCTACTTTGAATTATGAAAAGAAGTAAAATAACAGGCCTCGTTTTGTAGATCCTTTGTTTTCACCTCTAATGCTTTTACAAAGTTCTGTTAAAAAGTTAGGCTAATTATAAGGTCTCAATCTTTGAAGAAAATAAATAACGGTGAGTTAGACATATGTAAAAGTCCTAAAGTCTTGGCTACATTATGTCACTTCTGCCTAGACTATCAGCACTTTAATACTTTTTTTAAGGAAAATACTAATCTCAAAGAAAGACATGAATAAATTTCAGTTAATGCGCAAGCTTCAAAAGCAAACTAAAACTGTCCTTAAAACTTCCTAAAATTCCTTCTGTAATGACAGAAGAAAAAGCTTTAGCTTGTTATGCTGCTTGGGGAAAATACAACTTAGTCTTACAGGAGCTTTCATATACTTCAAAGAGTAAGAGAACGCAAATATTGCAAAATGACAAAATGATGACAAACATAACATACATATGTAACAGATATAAAGTAAATTTGGTATACTAGGTTAGACAAATGTGTTAAAGAAAAGCAAGATATATGTACTAATATCAATACGATTAAAACGTACCTATAAACTTGAAAGATCAATCATTCCAGCCTGAGGGCTAAAATAATAAACCAGAGCCAGGCTCATTTCAAAGAAAAGATATTTCAGATGTGGACGCTACACAAACTGGTATCACGTGCACACACACACACACACACACACACACACACACACACACACACACTCACACACACAAATAACCCTCTGTAGAGAAAAGCAGTGATTTTAGAAAAATAGACATATCGCATGCATGCATGATGTGAGAACCAAGAGGCAGCTACACATCAGGATATTATGATCACCCTGACTCCGACACTTCTCCAGTGTGTACATTATTTTATTTCAAGATGAGTTCGTGAATTAGAAGGAAAACATTTAAAGTCAAAGAGGCAGCACGTCTCATCTAGTGAAACACAATCCCTAAAGTGCAATAAGCTACACTCTGGTGATGCAAGGTCATTACACCTCCTGGTACCTGAGATTAAGACACAACGATGGGAAAAGCGCGGCGTCCTCCCTGACCTCTGAGCCGGGAGGGCGGCAGCGTTGGCCGAGGAAGGAATGGGCCTCAGTGGACACGAGCCAGGCCTAGAGCCCAGAAGACCCAGCTTTCAACTCTCCCATGAGCGCACACGGCTGTGCAGCCTGAAGCAACGTATGAGTGTCTCCAGGACCCAGTTTCACATCGGCAGATACAGCAAAGTTCCGGGACAACTGTTTTATGCTCCGATGCAGCTCTAATAAAAGTTTTTAAAAATATATGACCAGATGATCTACCATCTAACAGTGTTTCCTTAACACGCAGAGATTAAAGTACTTGGTATAGTACTTCCAACGCATTCTGCACTTTCCACAGTGACAGCCTGAGTGTGAAACATATTGTGTTCTCAGTAAACAGACTGAACAGGAACATCTCATCTCCCAATAGAGTCAAATAAGCTACGCTGGAACCCACTCTGTCATGTTGTATGAATCTGTCCCCCAAGGTTATTACAGTCACATCTTTCCTCCACAGCCCCCAAGGAGCTTAGACTCTAAGAGAAGTGACAGACACAACTATATGTAACAATGAAGTTAAGCATGAAAATGAATATTCACAACATTTCACAGTTTACAGTGTGAAGCCACCTCCATGAATCTTCCCATCGTGCGTCTTGCTCAGCCTAGACCAGAGAAGTCCGCTTCCAATCTGGCCTAAGATGCAGGCGTCCTGAACCCAGCAAGCAAAACGTGTCCCATTTGAACCCTGGAAGGAAGTCTGGGGAATCAGGACTCCACTTTCGCTCAACTAAGGATTTACACACTTCAAGCCAGGGAGCCCGTGGGTGTCTGACTGGATCCATGCAGCCTGAGAGAACTGGAACTTCAGAGCAAGCCTCCAGCAGGAAGGAGAATCCCAGGGCCATGAAATGCATGCTTAATCCATGCTGACTCTTCCAGATTGTACTGCATTTGATGAGTAACGCAGAGCACTGAGAGCCTGCAGACTATGGTGAAGATTACACACATCCAGGGAGTGTGACCTCCCCAACCCAGACAAGGATATCAAAGGGTTCCAGCGGGCCATGGACAGGCGATCTGTCTCTGCTCTAAGCCATCAAATACCCTGAGAATTACAGCTCCCAGAAAGCCCAAGGATTAACGCAGCCCGAGTCTATCACGCTCCAGGTAGGGACGCTGAGATGAGTGGCAGCGTGCCCCGTGAGCTTCTCCTAACAAATGCCTGTGCATCCTCGAGGGTTCCCTTCAGGCAGACGTTTTCCTTCAGTGAGAACTCACACACACAGACCCTCACGGACACACCACTTCTCTCTTAACCAAGAACTGGGACCTGAACTTGGACAGGGGAGCAGCCCGGCCCCTGGGTACCAACCATGCTGGACTGGAGCTTGGCTGACTCCTGCCTACAACTAACCCGGGCCCTTAGCATCCTGCACCCTCTGCCAGCACCACAGGGACGGCGTCTTACCTACGTCGGTTATGAGGATTGGCTCCTGCAAAGGAATGTCGGGGACGGGCGCGCTGGCCTTGCCGACACGAACCTTGGCGGGCTTGCGCTGGTGCCGCATCTTTCTCAACTCCGTGTGCTTGAAGTGCGAGGCGATGTGGGTCTTCCTGTGGCCCGAGGTTCGGAACTTCTTGTCACAGTGAGGACAAGCAAAAGGTCTGACTCCTAACACGGATGAAAGCACACCACAGAACCGTTTCAAGGAACTACATCTCAACAATGAAAGCCAACATGAAATTCTACTATTTTAATATCGACCTGGATATTCAATTTGTCACTTCATGCTTCTAATTTTGTAACTATTATAAATTATTTTTCCTTGTTTGCATATACTTCATGTTGTATATGGTAAGGCATGTAATAAGCGCATCTGAAGTAAAAAAAAAATGACTATTTTTACGAGTAAGTAAAACATGGGTGTTCTAAGTACTGGCAGTCCTTAAGAATATGGAGCGAGTCAGGCTCGCCCTCTCGGCTCATCGCCTGTAAGCTGGCACATCACACACTGCCGCCGGCTCCTGCTGGGTGACTTGCGCACGGGACATTTACACAGCGCGGAGCAGGCCCGGCATTTAGGGCACACGCGGTGCACAGCAGCTGGTACTGACGGTAATTAAGAACGCCACAGCTGGTGGTGACACTGAGAATATCCTCCTGACAACCCTCTACCGCCACTTTCCTTTCTGAAGGAAATTTCCTTCCTTTACGATGTTATTGGTAAATCGAAGTGCAGATTCCAAAGGACATATAACAAAATGGATTAATTTCAGCTTTTTCCAACACAGTCAGCTCAGCCCAGGAAGCCACGGGTGAGGGGAAGTTACTGCTAACCTGCTGTGGGTTCCTTTAGGGGTGATAAGAATGTTTGAAAAGTAGATACCGCTGTGGGTTGCACCATTCTGAATTGTACATTTTAAAGCAGGGAGTTTTGTGATCTGCGCATTAGTTAAAATAAAACTGGAGCCCGAACATGAAGGTTTTGGTGCCTTAATACTGACTGTAAAATAGCTGCATGGCGGAGGAGGCGTGGAGGTCGCCCTCCCTGCCTCGCTCGGCACCGGGGTCCCTGCCCGGGCTGGCCCGTCTTTCTCACAGGGGTCACGCGTCTACACCTACACCTGTCGCCCCCAGGGGGTCTCTGCGCTTATGCGTCCAGCCCGGAGGGGCGCCGTGCGATGTGGCCGGTGACGAGGCCCATCCTGGGCACCCCTGCGCCAGCGCGGCGGCCCCCCGCCCGGTCCCCAGAGCGCAGGGCGGGCGCGCAGGGAGGCGGACGCACCTGTGTGCAGGCGGACGTGCACTTTGAGGCTCCCGGACGTGGAGAAGCTCTTCATGCAGTGCTGGCACTTGAAGGCCTTGACGCCCGTGTGCGTCTTGATGTGCGCGGTCAGCGTGCTCTTGACGGCGAAGGCCCGGAAGCACTGCGGGCACTTGAAGGGCTTCTCGTGCGTGTGGATGCGGATGTGACGCACCAGGTCGCTGGGCTTCCGGAACTCCTTGGCGCAGTAGGGACACACGTGCCAGCGGACGCCGTTCTCCTCGCGGATGGAACCTGCGCAAGAGGAAACCAGGGCTGTCGGGCTCGCCAGGGCGCCGGGGAGGCCGCACGCAAGGGCGGCGAGTGTCCTTCCGGGACGACGGCACAGCGCCCCCGACAGGGCGAGCGGACGCGCGGCCGCGGCACCGCAGTCTGCGCCGTGGCGGAAGGACCTGGGATCCCCGTAAATCACCGAAATTTCTGGGGCCTGTTTCCAAGCTGCAGGCAATGCCCACAGTGCCCGAGAACACACATCAGCCTGTAGGCGACGGGCTCGGACCGGACAGGCGGCGTCCGGCTCAGGTGCCAGATCACGCCTTGGCCGTGCAGATTCAGTCCGCTGAGAAGCTGAATCTAAAACAGCGGCAACTGAAGGACTCGAAACGGACTCGAAGAACATGAGAAGGGATGAAGTTGCAGTGAGTATTGTTTGAGCTTGTCTGCTATCACTCATAAAAAAAAAATACAATGCAAATGATTAGGAAGCGGTAAGTTCTTATGCTACCAAAGGGAATTTACAAATAGTTAAGACAAAGGAATAGTATATATGACACAACCAAGTTCATGATCAAAAATAAAAGATCTTTTTGTAACTCTATTGTTATTCAACTTTGAATCAGATTTAAAACTATCCCTATCAGAAAAAAAAAATCACAAGTAGAATTTATGGCAATATAATAAAGTAAAATTTCTAAAATATAAAATTTTTTAAAGACCACATTCAGCATATCTTTCTTTAACTGTCCAGTAAGACCTCACTGGATGTCATTCCTAGGTTCCTGGAACCTGCGACTTTAAGCAAAGCAACATAAAAGGAAACCAATTTTCACACAAGCTAATTGATATAAACAAGAACTAGGTTCTTACGGCATATTTTCTGTCGTAAAAGCATCCCCAAACCCCAAACACTTCTAACATTATCATTGAAACAGAATGTGAGCTATACAGACATTCAAGGAAGATGAACAAAAACAAGTAAGGTCATTTCCAACCCGCTTCTCCAGCTCAGGCGCCAGGCGGGACCCACCCTGGCCGTCAGCCCCACCATCGCAGGACCACTCACACACACGCTCACTGGGACAATGTGGACACGCCACTCACCTCCTCGCGCATCTTTGGGATGCGGGAGAAAACCCTCGCAGACATGGGGACAACGTACACACTCCACACACAAAGTGGCCCCAGCCGGGCGTGGATTTTGTTTTCTTATGGACATTATAATGAAATGGCGTTATTGGAGAACCTGCTGCATAGTTTCAGTAGGAAGAAGAAAATCTTGTGTCCTTCTCTTTGGTTCCAGTGTAGATGAGGAATTCTCAGTTTGTAAATCGGCTCTAAGGGAAAGGAAATGTATTTCCCTGAACAGAATGCTCTTTGCAAGGCTAATGAGCATAGGGAAGGGGTTTGGAAACCGAGTGGAAACCACAAGAGGAACACAAACCACAAAGGGAAAAAGAGTAGGAAACAAGGGAAGTGGTTTTAAAAGTGAGAGAAAGACATTTACTTTATGGTGGTATTGCGTATATTAAGAGAGTCAAACTGAAGATTGCTTAAAATTAATTGGTAAAAATTCAGGAAAGTGCAACAATCACCTAACGGTCTCATCATGCCAAATCCAGAAAGTAAGGTACATAAAGTAGAAAGGGAACTATGACGTCTGTTAACCTAAATTAGGAAATCATCCTCGAAAATCAGATTTTTTTCCAAACAAAAATGAAATTTCTAATTATATAAGATGACATCATACAAAATTGTCACCAGGTTCCAATTATTTCTGGGAATAGATAAAGCAGAGATTACAAACTGGCAGCCCTGAAGCCACTCCAGATCTAGCCTGCATATGTTTTGTGTGGCCCATGCAGTGTGACAAAGGAAAAACTGAACCTGGATTCCGGTCCTTTGAAAAAGAGAAATATCTGGAAAACCAGACCTGCACTCCCCACGGCAGCCTTCCCTGGTACTGGGCAACAGCTGTTCTCTTCAAACATACAAACAAATTTAAAAAGAAAACATATAGTCATCTTTCAGATGGAAAGGCTTCTACTAAAATTCAATATCCAAACTTTCAAAAAATTGTCTAAAAACAGGAAGAGGTAAATAAAACATCTCAATACACTTGACTTAATAGGAAAGTACTAGGGCTGGCCGAGTGGCGCAATGGTTAAGAACTGGCTTGGGACGCCAGAGGGCCCCGGTTCGGATCCCATATGTGAGGGCCAGTGACACTGCCCTCTACAGCTAAGATGCTGAACAACAGCTCAACCTGGAGCTGGGC